CATATACTACAAGAAATAAGCCATTAGTTGAGAGTTTTTCCTCAATAACCCTCTAATTAGTTCTTATTTATTGCAAGTAAGGAAGTTGTTGTTGTACATGAGTTTTGGTCTTAATATGCGCTGCTCAATATGGGCCTAATAAGAAGAATAGTATTTCTCCCATAATAACACTTAAAGGTAGGGTAGGTAAGTTTGAGAAACCGGCTCGAGATACACTTTTTGTTATATTCCATGGAATGCTCTTAACATCCCGATAGCAATGAATATCTTAAGTGCTTTGACAAAAAATCCATAAAAAAATGTCATCTGTAAAAAGTACGACCAATCATTTTAGCCGGCCGGCTAAAATAACTGGATGGCCTACCTGCCTGTCAGCCTTCCATCTGTGCACAAACTTATCTCGTGCCCTCATTGGTCATGTGCCCGTTCGTGTGTGTTGGAGGAGGGGCTCTATAAGGAAGTGGCAGATTTTCTCCGGTTGTGTATTTTCAAATTCTAGCGATCTCGAGCCGGTTTCTCAAACTTACCTACCCTACCTTTAACAAATATGATCTATTCTTATGTAACAAGCCATGAAACTATAAGTGTTAATTGTGTCTAAATAACTCAAAATTAGGTATTTATATCTAAGAACATGTTCCCTATTTTAAAGTGAAGTCTTGTTCCTAACCAATAAGCTAGTAGTTTGACTCTAATTGACCTGAACAGGTTCCCTATTCTAAAGTTGCCTCCTCTTCACACTTTTTAAATACATTATAGCACACAACTACTGAAATTAACCTCAACAGTACATGAACAAAGTAGGCACACGTTGAAATATCTGTTTTATTAATGAACCACTAAAGAGAGGTTCAGACACATACCAAAACATGTCAAGTTTCTCCAAGGCTGAGAACACATATGCAGCCTGTACTTTTAAATAAAAACAGATTTTTAACAGATTGTATGTATTTGTGATCGTATTGTGTGACCTGCTTGTATGTACTTACACAATAGGTGTAGTACTGTTCTCTCTGTGTTGTACTGTCTCAGTGTGAACCAGCGACGTACAGTCAGGGGAGGCAGAGCCTCACCTGTCATACTCCAATGTAACGGAAAAACTAAAGAAAAACGAAATAGTAATAATAATAAAATGTCTCCACTGATCTGTGTTGTAAGTGTGATTTATGTATGATCCCAATCGCTTTTTATAGTCAAAATCAGCAAATTTGCCGAGCTCCGCTACGGGAGCGATGAGAAGTGAGGCAGGGACGTGCTCTGCCTCTCGTAAGCCCACAGTAACTTGCTGGAGCACGGGCACTAATTTAGCGCGGGCACTTATTTTGTGAGCGCGCTCAAGCCAGTTGGGTGAGGTGAGGCACAGATGAACTCTGCCTCACCTCAGAATGCGTCACCCCACAGAAACTGGCTGGAAAGCGGGCCCTAAGCGCATGCCTGTTACCATCTCACTGTAGGTCACCAATGTAATGTTTGTAGATCCCTTTATTACATTTATCCTCGTCATCCATAGTCTCTAAATAACTTATTTCACGTGTGATATTTAGGCTCGCTGGTCTCATCATACAACGGCAATGAAAAAAGCACCAGGGGAGGCAGCCATAACCTCTGCCGCACTGAAGGGGGCGCACGTGAGCCCACAGGTTCTTGTTGCTACTGTTATTCTACGCAGAGACGGTAGACGCAAACAACAAACTAGACTTTTGTTTTGAAACTAGAGGAAGATAAGGAGGACTTTTACAAAAAAGTAATAGAGATTGTTGTCCAGAAGGATAGCATGGACTTCATCTTCAAGTCAAGGTAAGACCACAACTGTAATGAAAATGAAAGAACAATCCAATATTTAGATTGTGGGTATCCTTTTGTTGAACGGTCTGTTTAAAATGAATCGAAGCATCAGACTAAAAAAGCTTTTGAAAATAACCGAATATTTCGATTAAGGTCAAAATATAATATTTGTAAATCTGACTCAGTGAGTCAGTGCCTCACCAGCCATGAACCTCACCGCACGTCACTGGTGTGAACATAGATTAAACAGCCAGCCAAAGTCTTTTGAGAGCCAGGGAATGAGCAGCCATGCTCCTTTATTGACTTATTTGCAGTCCACTTGCATTACAACGGAGTGAAACTATAAAAAAGAAGAAGTTACAAGACACTTAATGATCTCATACATGCAAGTGTAACATACACAGATTAACACATGGGACCGCTAAGTGTAAACAAGGTAAATAAAGCTAATGCTAGCTGTGCAATAAGCATGTATACAGGCTAGTATGGCTAACGCTAGCATGTATGCTAACGCTACCGTGTATGCTAACGCTAGCGCGAATGCTAACGCAAATGCTAGCACGAATGCTAAAGCATTTTCTCATTGTGTTTAAACATCTCCAAATTACATCACATAAACACAATATATGCTACTAAACATACAGTGTAAGGCTTACACTTACACTTACAGTCATTGCTTTCTGACGGACTTGACCCTTTTACTCTTCAGGTTGCATAGGGAAAATTAGTAGCAGTCTACTGCCATGCTATTCAGTTCACTTTCTCCTATTTCCTGTACCCGGTTTCCTGTCTAACCTTCAGTACAAATTTGACAAAAATATAAATGTGCATATATGAAACATACAGGTCAATATCACCTTGCTATTGGTAGCTGAACTGTCAATACCCCAAAACAAATTCTTAGATAGAAATACCAAATGTTTTGTTATTTAGACAAAATTAACACTTACAGTTTCATGTCTTGTTACATAAGAATATATCATATGTGTTAAGTGTTATTATGGGAGAATTACTATTCTTGTGGTACTACTGCCTTATTAGGCCCATATTGAGCAGTTTAAGACCAAAACTCATGTACAACAACTTCCTTACTTGCCATAAATAAGCACTAATTAGAGGGTTATTGAGGAAAAACTCTCAACTAATGGCTTATTACTTGTAGAATATGGTCATGTAGAATAAGGCATTAATAAACATTTTATAATGACTAATAAAGAGCCAATATACTGCTAATATGCATGTTAATTAACAACTATTTGATGGTTAATTTGTGTACCTTAATATAAAGTGTTACCATAATTTTCTCTTTGGTTTGATTAGTTAAAAAATAGAAGACTTAAAAAGTCCCTTGTAAAAGTACTAAATAGCACCATGTTTAGCTAAATGTACTCCAAGTACTAAAAGTAAAAGTAGTCTTTATGCAGAATGGATAGGTTCACAGTATTATATTATGGCAAATATGTTATCCTGTTTTTATAAATGTACAGTAAGAGCATCCAAGCATTGTAGTTTGACAACGTGGACCAAATGTAGATACTACAAATACTGTGTAGATTACTGGTGCAGTACTGCAATATACCATATCAGCATATCAGGTCTTTTATATGTGCAAAGTAACTAGTAACTGTGAGTCCTTAAGTAAATGTAGTGGAGTAAAAAGTAAAATATTTTCCTCGGAAATGTAGATGTAGAGATTTGCTCACTGAAGGCTGAATTCAACCGATATTTTTATTAAAATGTCTTCTTAGTCTGGTGCAGCCGCGGCGTTATGGGTGGGCCTACTGGGCCTAGGCCCACCCACTCTGTCACTGGGCCCACCCATTCATTGATCAAAAATGACTGGGCGAAAATATAGTTTCCAAATTTTTAATTTTTTATTATCAAAACTAACGATTACATAATAAAATAAGAGCAAACGTGTTTCCCTTTAAAAAAAACTTAGAAAATTAAAAGCAACATGAATTAATGTAATCGGGCAAGGCAAAATGTGAATTTGGACCGAACTCATAGTGGAAGCGCGGGAGCAAACACATCGTAGAACGTCTCGCGGGCACGCAGATGGAGGACAGTGGACTGGACAGACACAAAAAATATACCGCACTCACTAACGATTTCACAACAATCGATGTTCAGGTTTTCATTTTAAAGAGTAAGACAAGTCATCCTCACAGCAGGTGCCGCCTCAGAGAGACGAGAGTGTGTTTAATGTTGTGCCCCGCTGAGCTCAGTCCCTCTGCGGGACGTAGCACCCGTTGCAGGTCAACAGAAAATAGCATCCCAGTGCCGGACCTCTCAGCCATAGATGACCCGGCGGCTACACAGCCAAATCTCATAAAGTACCCTCAGACACTTTTCGGACAAAGGAAAAGGAGCTCCGCTGCCCACTGGTATGTCAAGAACACATTATTGGAGTATAGCATTAGCAAGGACAGTGTGTTTTGTAAAATGTGCCGGCATTTTAGTGAGAGGCGGGGCCGGCGGAAAAGATACATTCAGTCGCCATGGTTACAGGGACTGGAAACATATCGACTATGCTCTCAGTAAACACGAATGCAGCTATGGAGAGAAATACAAACTACAGACAGTGCGAGAAGTCTGACCATGGAACCATCCTCCATCAGCTACTCAACCCAGAGGGCCGACAGGGAGAGATCATTGAGAAAAATCGGGAACACGTAAAGTTTTACCGGACATAATTGTCACATGTGCAAAGCAAGAGATTCCTCATTTCATATTGAGACTAAATATCTAGGGAAATGATTAAGAAACGTAGAGCTAAAATGTGGTGCCATTTGCAACTACCAGATCGCACCCAGACGCGGCAGGCATTCTCCAGCCCAAATCAGCAAAGCTTATGAGTGTGAAGCAACAGTATCTGCTGCCCAGCTGCTTTAGGATGAAACGTATACTTCAGCTCATGAAAGCTCTGCAGTATCAGAAGGAAGTAGCCTAATGATAAATCTGCAGCCTCTGAAAAGTGCCGCGTCAGAGAACCAGTGCCTTTTACGCACGGCCGCTCACTTCGCTAGATCCGCTAAAGGACAGCAGGCTGCAGTGCAGTCTAACCACACAGACACACATCAGGTGTTCGCTCATTATTCCATATTCTGCCGTTGTATGCTCTTTGTTTCTAAACGTATCAATGTATTGTGAACCAAAACTAAATCACATGCAGTATAACATTTATTTTCACTCATTGCGGCGTGCCACTTAATCATTTAAATAATATTTAAGCTTCTCATAAGTGAAAATGTTTAAAAGAGAAGGGTTTTGAAAAAGTGTCTTTACTATAGGAAATATGCATTACACAGTTGCCTACAATGATATGCAGCCATTTATTTTTATTGCATTTTTGTTAACGAGAAACATCTATTAGAACAGGCCCAGCCGAAATTACATTGGCCCACCCACAATTGAAATCCTGGCGCCGCGGCTGGTCTGGTGCACAATTATACTGATCCAAAGTCCGAAATCTCTTCCATTTCTGACTCTGGGTCTAGGTCTAGGTCAGGCAATTCTTTAATGTCGTCGTCTGTCTGTGAAACATAAAACAATTATTATTGTGTTGTCTATGTGCAGTGTTTTTTATTAAGAAAACAGAAGTTGAGTTAACTCTGCATCAATGGGTGTGCACAAGTATGCTGTGATCAATTGCATTAAAGATGATTTACTATTTTGATTTATTTTTTGGATAAACTTTAGTAAAGAAACTAAAGCGTTGAGTATTAGCTTTTTTACAGTTTTCACGAGTGTAAGTGTAGACATGTGTGCCACTGAATTGAATTCTTACATCAGCAAAGGAAGTGACGCTGTAGTTTTCTCTGTTGCTGGAGATGGAGGTCTGCTCGTTAATATCTTCCTCCTCCTCCTCAGCAAACTCAAAAGTCTTATCATCAAAGTTCGCAATCTCTTCGATTTCGGACTGTTTCTCCTCAATGTGCTGTTTATTGACAGCAGCCTCCAGTTCACTTTGCAGTCTTTTGTTCTCATAGGCGAGGTGTTGGTTCCTCTGAGTCAGACGGGCCAGTTCTTCTGCTTCCTTCTTCTGCTGAGAGACAGCAGCCTCGTAGTCCCTCTGCAGTCCCTCCAAAGCCAGGGTCTTCTCAGACAGCTCTTTCTCTTGGCTCTGGATCTTCTGTGAGGCTCTGGAGAAACGAGCCTCCTCGTTCTTAAGGTTCTCCTCCAGTCTGCTGTAAGCTCTTCTGTCGTCCTGAAGCTTCTTCTCCTCAATGTGCTGTTTATTGACAGCAGCCTCCAGTTCACTTTGCAGTCTTTTGTTCTCATAGGTGAGGTGTTGAGTCAGACGGGCCAGTTCTTCTGCTTCCTTCTTCTGCTGAGAGACAGCAGCCTCGTTGTTCATCTGCAGTGAGCTGCTTTTTGTTTGCTCCTCTGCTTTGGCTTTTCTCTCCTCATCCAGGGCTTCCTGAAGGCCAGATGATTTGTCATATCTCTCAGATCTTTCAGAGTCCTCTGTCTGTGAAACATAAAACAATTATTATTGTGTCGTCTATGTGCAGTGTTTTTTATTAAGAAAACAGAAGTTGAGTTAACTCTGCATCAATGGGTGTGAACAAGTATGCTGTGATCAATTGCATTAAAGATGATTTACTATTTTGATTGATTTTTTTGAAAAACTTTAGTAAAGAAACTAAAGCGTTGAGTATTAGCTTTTTTACAGTCTTCATTAGTGTAATTGTAGACATGTGTAGTTTTTCTCTTGTTGAAAACTGATCTTACTCTGTCCATCTTATTCATCGTGAAGAAATAGCTGCTTCTTGCTGATAATGTGAACTCGATGTGGCTGGGATAAAACCTGGCTTGTTATCGTCCTGCACAAACTGCAAATAAGTTGTGTAGCTATTTAACCAGAGAGCATGCTCTCTTGCAGACAATATGATATGACATCATCAGGTTCAGTAAGACTTCAGAGCCGAACATTCCGGAATGTGCTTTGGTCTATACCGACACATTCTACATTCCATTTCAAAGTATTCTACATTCAATTTCAAAGTATTCTACATTCCATTTCATTTCAGACATTCCATTTCATTTCAGACATTCTAAAAGTATGGAGGAAAGTCACCTGATAAGCAAAGTTAGTTCATGGAACTAAAGAGCAGATCGCGTTCACACCAGAATAAGTTCCTGAGGGAAGATTACGCAAATGAACCCGCTGACGTCACTTCTTCTTATTCTTCTGCTTTGGGTTTACTGGCAGGCCGCAAACAACTTCATGGCGTATCCTGCCACCCAAATTCCCCCGGCCATAGTTGGGGACTGGCTTCAGTAGAAGCTGCTGGGAAGCTCCTCTGAGTCCCCACGAGTCTGCAGGAAGTTTCACTGATCCACGTCCCCTCCCCTGAGCCAAACGATAACTTCTGGCAGCTATCCTACTTGCTAAAGGGTAGGCAGATGGACTGTGGTACGTTGTAATGTGATTTTACATGTTATAAAGAGAGTAGGGGTGTAACGGTATCCGTATTCGTCCCGAACCGTCACGGTTCGGCGCATGCAGTCACACGACGAATACGCCTTTTTTTTATGAAGGGAAAAAAGTCTGTCACTCAGGGCAGTATCCATTACACTATATATCAGGGGTCGGCAACAGGCGGACCGCGGTCCGGATCCGGACCCAGACGCCGACCTATACGGACCCGGACCTATAATCAATACATTAATAGGGGATTTCAATTTTGACGGGGCGATTCTATTTTAACCGCCGCCGACAGGGGGCGAAAGAGACGAGTGAGCGATACAGGGAGAGAAACACAGAAGAAGAGACGAGAGAGCGGCAGAGAGAAAAGTGGGTGAAGAGAATAATTAGCGATACAGGGAGAGAAGCGGTGAATGTGAATACATTTTGGAATACTTTTTGGAATTATTGGTGGAAAAGTTTCCTCATAAAATGTAATATTCATTACCAGCAGAACTGTGTGCACACTGCACAGCGCTGCAGCATGTCTGTGAGGCCCCGCGCCCGCACGCAGATCAGAGAGAGAGATCTCTTTTAAAATATATAGAAACGGAGATGGTTCGATAAAATGTGCAAGATAACGTTTATGTAGCATTTCTTTATTGTCGAAATGATGACATTTCATAACGGGATCAAATCAAAGTGAATGGCCTGCTGCTGCTGAATGCATGGGGCAAGTGACTGGAAACAGTTTTAAAAGTTATTACGTCGTTTCAGATAATAAATAATAATAGTAATTCATTCTATTTAGGGGCGCCTTTCAAAGCACCCAAGGACACCTGACAATTCATAACATATTCTAAGGAAAGGTTTAAGAGAGTACAAATAATGCAGTCCTGGTGATGTTTTTATGGGGTGCAGATGAGAGGGAGCTGTCCAGAATGACCCAAAGATGTTGTGTTTGAGTTGTGCTCTTGATAAGCCATTAAAACAGTAAAAATAAGTGTCTCCTGTTCACCAAAACATACCCATCTGTTATGGAAAAATAAAGTATTCTAAAAGTAATCTGAATACGTTACTTTTTTAAGACACGTAACTCTAACTGTATTCAGATTACTTTCAGAGCCATGTATTCAGTAACCGATTACATTTACAAAGTAACCCTCCCAACCCTGATTAAAAGTGTTTGACCAAACATTCAAAAAATAAGCAGTCTCAGAGCCCAATATGATCAGTCCACCAGGATCAAAATTAAAACTAAATATCGTTCCAGGGCAGGCTAACCGAGGCTAACCAATGAGCACCTGCATGTGTGTATGAGAATGGCCCTGACACCATTTCAGCCCAGATTTAAACTCCTGGCAGGACAAGCTCAAGCTCAATTCTCGCACTGAATTAAAGAAAAGTGAGTGAGGGACTGCAATATAAGAGGGAAAGAAAGAGAAACTTTAAAACTGTTCAATTGTTATGATGTGTATGTTCTATAATCGTCTGAAACTGTTAAGTCATGATGTGAAACGGTTAACAAAGCTATTTTATTTATTTCTCTATTTTATTTTTAAATGCAGCCCGAGAGGAACATTACACATATCCACAGTATTTACTGTATATCTGTATAGTTCAATGTTCATTGACAATAAATATTGTTGTTTTTGAATTGTACTTTCTTTATCTGATTGGCAGTCAGTTGTTGATTACATGCAGACGTTGATACAGCTACAGGCTACTTCAATATATATCACACTAATTCATAAAGCAAGTTAGATATTTTGATGTTCCGGACCTTTGCATGGGGACATTTTCTCTAACTGGACCTCGTTGAATTTTAGTTGAATACCCCTGCTGTATACTCTATTGCAGGGGTTCCCAAAGTGGGGGCCGCGAGATAATAAAAAATAAAAATAAATATGTATTATTATCCAGTGTTTCCCACAGAATTTGATTCTATTTGTAGGGGCACCCCATCCAAATGAGCCATAATCTCATTAAATATGCGCATTTAATACATTTCAGGAACACCTTTCTGAACCAGTCAGGTTCGAAATTCTAGTTTCATTTTGTAGTCATATTGGAATCTAACGTTTTTACAGAAGTTTTGTGTTTTTATGTCTTCATGTGGAACCTACTTGCAGCAGGTCTCCCTTGAAAAAGAGATCGATGATCTCAATGGGATTCACCTGGTTAAATAAAGGTTTGAAATTAAATGAAAGGGATTTTGGATATCACTCCATAAATCAGAAAATACTGTCAACAGCCGTAAAATATCAATTTTCGCCATATTTTTAGGTATAAAATGTTATATAATTTGGGCTATGAATGATATATGAACAAACTCTTCCGTAAAAACCTTCAGAATATTGATAGGAATATAACTGGAAGGTTTGGTGTATGCAAGTGCTACTGAAGTGGAAATGTCTCACTCGGAATAGGAGAAAAAACTAATTTTGAGAAAACGACCTTTAAAGATTGCTGTGTGGCGCCAACTAAACCCTCCTGTTCTTTGGATGACAGCTTGCGCCTCGACGCACTCCGTGAAGGTATTTCATGTTCGGGATCATTTGTTTTTTGTCTAACATTGCTTCGTGCAAGTGACAATTGTTGTCGTCTTGTCTGTGAACGTTTTTATCGCTGTTCTTTTGCCATTTTGAGATTTAAATTTCCAGCGAAAGCTAAACCAATAAGTGTTTTAGCACACCACGTGACGCATCTGAACGAATCACGTTGTCAGAAATTGACACCAGCCAATGATATTTAGTTTTTTGGTTTAAGACCCCTTTGTACTTTCACGATTGGTTGCTGATACAAAGGAAATGACCATATTTGGATCCGATGAGATTGTGCAGGAGAGACGGAGCTTTCCAACGATATCTGAGGTGCAAACAGCGGTCGCGGCACTGAATTTAGGAGAAATCTACAGACGCAAATAGACAAACTATAGTAAAATAAACACCTAAATGTGTATTTTGTTTCCTTCCAAAAGCCTGAAAGAAAACATGTTATGGAATCAAAATAGCACAAAATCTCAAAATTGACCAGTGCATGAAAAACGATGTTTTTGCCTGCCGTGTGTCGCCTTAATGAGTGAGACACACCGGACTTGAGGATCTGTGGGGTTTGTATGTCGATGTATGGGAAACACTGTTATTTGTCTTACTATTATTCATAATAACGTGTGCATAGACATGTTTCAGGGGCGGACTGGCCATCTGTAGAATGTCCCCGCAGCGAGGCTCCCCCCTTTGACAATTCACTAGCACCACCCCCGTTGACAATTCACGTGGTGGGGGGTCGCCAGTCTCTGGCACTGTTATTTTGGGGGTCGCGGGCTGAAAGATTTGGGAACCCCTGCTCTATTGTGCTTCCTGCTATTTCGTATATCTTTTAAGTTATCATAAAACAAATTAAACTCACCCATGTGATTGCAAAAAAAAAGACCAGGCACATTATGAAGCAGTAAAAGTTTAGTATAAAAAGGCCAATGATCAGTAACAATTAACTATAAACATACAAAAAGGAGAGTTATAAATCACATCTGCTTTTATCATTTTCTGCAAAGATTAGTAAGAAATGTTTTAAAAAACATGTGTTCTTGAGTTTAACTACAAAAATATTAATGCATAAAATCTACAAAATCTTAGCTGCCATGAGAAAATATATGATATGATACAGGACTAACAGATAGACGATGAATAGTTGATTTACTGTATATTATCGACTATGTACAAGGCTCAAGACTCTCGCAAACAAAGGACACAAATACAGTACAAAAGGAAATAAAGTACAACCAGAGTGGTAAAGACAAGGAAACAGTTGCAAGCTGAAGCCATGAAGAAAGAGGAGCAGAAAAAGGGGATCTTCGAATTCACACTAGAACACTCGTCTGACATTTCAAGGAGTTTCCTTAAAAATCTCTTTAGAAAAATAGTGCTTTGAAGAAACTCAACACTCGTTTAACCTGCCTCATCATCTTATATTGGTTATTGATTTGTTTGTAATGCGTTTAAACCATCCAACAGATAAATGAGACATTGACGGGTGTAGTTGTGACTTTAAAGACCCAGAAAAACCCAGTGCCAACCCCAAATATAAAGAAAATAAATGAGTCTTTATGTTAACGTGTGATTTTAAAAAGGTGGATTGTTTATATTAATGACGCATGCATGTGTATATTTCTGCAAACATATCACAAGTGCAAAACTGTGTCTATCATAATCTACTGGACGTGGCAGTTGTCTTCTTGTTTCTCTGGTGTCTGGTGGACACTCAGCGAGCGGTGTGCAGATTTCTCCTCACCATTCGGGGAGAGACAGGGCATGGACCCCAAGACCTGTGGAGGAAGAGCAAGACAAGATAAGAAGAGTGAAAAATAATTGGAAGTGAATATTTGAACTTTACACAACAAAAGGACTGTGTCTGGAACTGGACTCCATTGATCACTCTGCTCTGCTTTATACCATGTATTCATTATAAAGTATAAAGTAGCAACAAGATTAGCTGTTTTGAAGAACATGCCATTTGTGTTGACACGCAAATGTAGCGTATTTTGTGTAGCTGGCTGTCGGGTATAAGTAGCACAGACAAGGGGTGTGCGTGTGTGTGTTGCTGCTCACCATGCCATCAGAAGAGGGAACCGTCTGTTTGGCAGCGAGTCGAGGACTGCAGCGCTTCACTGTGGTTCTCCTCATGATGAACGGACTGGCCTCCCCCAGAGGAATATCACCAAAACCTGCCAGAGAACAAATTATTACTTTTCTCATCCTTAAATGTTTTGTAAAATTGTACCAGCATTTAAATTGTTACATTTACTGCATACATCTAAATCCATAAGGGGTTAAAAAAAGAAACAGGTGTTTTCTTCCCTATATTTTGATGAACTTGAGTTGCAGTTACATTACCTCTCTGCACCAGCTCAGGCAGCCCCTCTGGTCTGAACTCATCGTCTTCCTGCTCAGTTTTTGGTTTGGGTGTAGTCACTGCGTTGGCTTTGATCTTCTTTGTCAGGTTGTGCAGGGCCTCCTGGGCGCTGTCTTTATTACTGATGTCACGGTGAGCTCGTTTCCCTTGAGGAGACCTCTGCAGAGTTAAAGGTGCATTGTTCTCTGTGTTCTCATCCAGTTTTTCCTCTGGATGTTTGGAGTAAGACTTCCTCCCTGAGCGGCGCCGGCGAGTAGCGTCCGCGCCGCTGGAGGGGACGTTTGATTCGTTAGCTGGTCGGCTAGCAGTGAGCTGCTCCAGCCGGGTCGTCAGTGAATCGTTGGTCTCTTCCAGTTTGTGGACTTTAAGCATAACGCTGCAGTATTTTTCTATGCTCTCGTCGGCCTCCTTGCTTTTGTCTTCCAGGTTTTGGTTTAGTTCGTCAAACTCGCTCTTCATCTCCTGCAGCTCTCCGTTCCTCTCTTCTATCTCTTTCTTCTTTCCATCGAGGGCAGCCTGAAGTTCTTCCACTTCCTTACTTTTTTGTTGTGACTCCACTATTTTTTCTTCTGCCTCCACCTTCTTCTGCTGCAGAGCACTCTTCAGGTCTTCCACTTCCTTCTCTCTCTGCTCTGCCGCCTCCAGCTGCTTCGCCTCAGTCTCCACCGCGTCGCTGCTCTTTACGTCACCTGTGACACAAATGTGCCCCATGTTAACAAAATAATTAGTTTGCACTGTCGAGGGAGTAAGTCGCCATGTGTAGTGAAAATCACTCCAAGTCTGGGCATGTTGAGAGCTGTACATACACACAAGGGGAGTTAGTCGGTTCCGTAAGAGCCAGCATGCGGGACCGGGATTCTGGGATTTGTAGTCTTTCTAGTTGCGTATTTTTCATAGTCTTATATTTCAACAGTTTTACGACAAACTGTGACTTTTTTGACATGGAAATTATTTTTTAAGATTGACAAACATCATACGTGTAATTCATGGCCCAATTCAAACGGGATCGAGAGATACGTTTTCTCTCTCCATTGACTTCAATGCATAATGTTTCCGAAATAAGGTCCCATGGAGGTCCACCGGAAAGGGAGGGACTTCGCCTCTCTATAGTGATACTGTAGCTCTTCTGTTTTTAATCAAAAATAGTATAATGATACAACCTAATTACTTAATCGTTCACATACTTTCATGACATCTTGGATTGATTTGTAAACACAAACTAATGTCTGTGTACAGATAGAGAATTCTGGTCAATCCTGATTTCTTACACATGGGATGGCGCAGGTCTTGTATGTCATGAAAGTAGTAGGTTCATCCTGTTTTATTTATGTATTTATTACAGAAGCATTTGAATGCGTTTCCCCACCTGAGCCGTTCAGCATCTCTTGCTTCTCCTGCTCCAGCTGTTTGCAGGTCTTCATCAAGAGACTCATCTTGCTCCGGGCAGAGTCTCTCTCTTTGGACAGACGAGCGGCCTGAGACGTTAGCTGTGACACCTGAAACAGACCGAAAGAGATAGGATTTAGTCATGCTAAACATAACATAACATCAAATGAAACAAGATATCATTCATACTATGTTGTCTGTTTATCTTGAATTCACTTATTTATTAGGATACATGCCGAATGGTTGGCACGTGGGGACATTTGAGACTTAAATAGAACTATGTGTGTGTTGGAGCCATAATGCATGTGTCTTTGTATTTTATCTGGACGTTTAATTAATGATGCAGTTCCAACTTTCTACACAAGATGGAGTATTCACTTGTGTGTGTGTGTGTGTATAAATGTAATCACTGGGTGATCAGGTGCAGGTGTGTGGGACGGAAGCAAACAGTTTTCGATCGTGTCAGCAGAAGCCGTGTTAATATGAGCTGTATGTTAAACCTGTTTGTATTCAGCGTGACTGGCGTGCATATATTGCTATCTGAATGGTAACAGAAAGGCTATATGGACAACACAAGAAATGGATCGATGGATTGAAAGATATACACTCGTATGGACATTGTTTTGTCATCTGGAACACGCGTCCGAACTTAGCTCTCCCGTTCCCATCCCTCAGTGGCTTATGTATGGATAAGGTTAAAAAGCCACTACAGTGTGTGTGTGTGTGTGTGTGTGTGTGTGTGTGTGTGTGTGTGTGTGTGTGTGTGTGTGTGTGTGTGTGTGTGTGTGTGTGTGTGTGTGTGTGTGTGTGTGTGTGTGTGTGTGTGTGTGTGTGTGTGTGTGTGTGTGTGTGTGTGTGTGTGTGTGTGTGTACCTGCTCATTGAGCTTTGCTGCAGACTCTTTGGACTCTTCCAACTCCTTCTCCATCGAGGCAACTGTAGACTGAAGTGTCTCCTTCTCTTGTTCCAGGGAGGAAAGAGCCGAGGACAGGTTATTTTTCTCGACTTCAATCGAAGAAAGGGAAGACTGCAGTTCTTGTTTTTCCCCATCGATCTTTAGTTTCTCCTGCTCCGTTCTTTCCTTCTCTTCCTTCAATGAAGATAGAGTTTGTTGCGTGTCCTTTTCGACCAATGAGAGGTCAGCCTGTAGCTTTTCTTTCTCCTCAGCTAACACCCCCCTCTCTTGCTCCAGCCTTTCTTTCTCTCCTTCTACAGATGAAAGAGTGCACTGCAGATGATCTCTCTCTTGTTCCACTGAAGACAGAGTTGAGAGCACTTCCTCCTGGATGGATTTTACTGAAGCGTTCTTCTGCTCTGCCTCCCTCTCCAGCATTTCCCTCTTTTCTTCTTGAGCTTTATTCTGTGTTTGGAGCTCTTTTATTTCTTCCTCTAAAGCCTTAATACTGTTCCTCAGGTTGTTACTCTCCTTCTCCCACTCCTCTCCCTCAGAGCGGAGTTTCTCCCTCTCCTTCTCCCACTCCTCTCCCTCAGAGCGGAGTTTCTCTCTCTCAGTCTGCCACTCCTCCAGAGAAGTGTGCAGACAGGATTTCTCTTTCTCCATCTCCACCAGCAGAGACTGCAGCCTCTCTCTCTCCCCTTCCGTTTCTGCACCCCTTTGCTCCAGGGAGGTCTCTCTCTGCTGGGAGGCTTCCAGCTGTGCCTGGAGGTCGTCCATGTTCCTTGTTTGCCGCTCAGCTTCCTCTCTCATTCCTTTCTCCAGCTCTTTCTGCCTTTCCTCTTCCTCTCTTCTCTCCACCTCTGCCTTCTCCAACCCTCTCTCCAGCTGCTCCTTAGCGGACTTCAGTTCTTCTATCTCTCTGTTCTTTGTCTCCAGCTCACTCTCCATGTGTTCTTTCTCAGATCTCAGGTCGTCCAGTGTGGCAGACAGCTCGGAAAGTTTCTCGGTGAGTTCCCTCTTCTCCTCCTCTACCTGGAGGAAGGGAAGGTCAAAGACAGACAGCAGCAGCAGAGTTCAGAAAGGAGGAGAAGAAAATCAGGATGGAAAGGGAAAAAGCAGCATAAGAGAAAATAAACGAGACATCTGATTAATATATTGTTTGGTATTGAGAACATATAGATACATAAGAAAGGCCAACATTAAGCCAAACACTAATGAAAGTGAATATACCTTTATCCTTTCCTCCTCCAGCTCAGCTGTGGCTGTCTCAGCCTGTGTAGGAACATCAAACATTAATTTAACACAAACTAATGTCTTGACCTCTCCTACAGTATGCATTGCCATGAAGGAATGAATGGATGAATGAATGTTCTATATTATTTTAATAAATGATTGAACTCCGGCAGTATTATTTTAGATATGTTATGTTTAACTGCTATGCCTGCCATCTCTGCTCTGTGTCATCTCCTGGGTTCTGTAGTGCCAGGAGTCTGTCTTTTTATTTTCTTCCTCCCAACCCCCATCCCCTCAGGAAGCCTTTTGCCTCCTGTCAGGTCATCATTGAAAATAAGAATTTGTTCTTAATTGATTTTCCTGGCTAAATAAAGGTTCTACTACTACTAAGCAAATGTTGACACCAAACATCCTCACATGTGAGTTTCTTCCATACAATGGTTAAATTGAGACATGACAATGCAAGAAGGATGCAGTGGTTATTTTTTAAACATATGCATGTTTGAGACTACCTGAAGCACAGCCTCCTCCAGACTCTCCTCTTGGTCTTCCTTCTCTCGCTCCAGGACAGCAATGCGATCTTGCAGCGAGTCAGATTTCCTCTGGACAGCTAGAGGGGTGAACCAACACAGTTAGACCGACACCACCTCACACAGACACCACCATACACAACTCACACCGACACCAACTCACACCGAAACCACCTCACACAGACACCACACCTCACACAGACACCACCTCACACCGACACCACCTCACACCGACACCACCTCACACAGACACCACCTCACACCGACACCACCTCACACAGACACCACCTCACACCACCTCACACAGACACCAACTCACACAGACACCAACTCACACAGACACCACCTCACACCTCACACAGACACCACCTCACACAGACACCACCTCACACAGACACCACCTCACACAACTCACACAGACACCAACCCACACAGACACCAACTCACACAGACACCACCTCACACCAACCCACACAGACACCAACTCACACCTCACACAGACACCAACTCACACCTCACACAGACACCACCTCACACAGACACCACCTCACACAGACACCACCATACACCAACTCACACCGACACCAACTCACACCGAAACCACCTCACACAGACACCACCTCACACAGACACCACCTCACACAGACACCACCTCACACCTCAAACAGACACCACCTCACACCTCACACAGACACCACCTCACACAGACACCACCTCACACCTCAAACAGACACCACCTCACACAGACACCACCTCACACAGACACCACCTCACACAACTCACACAGACACCAACCCACACAGACACCAACTCACACCTCACACAGACACCACCTCACACAGACACCAACTCACACAACTCACACAGACACCAACTCACACCTCACAGACACCAACTCACACCGACACCAACTCACACAGACACCACCTCACACAGACACCACCTCACACAGACACCACCTCACACAGACACCACCTCACACAGACACCACCTCACACAACTCACACAGACACCAACCCACACAGACACCAACTCACACCTCACACAGACACCACCTCACACAGACACCAACTCACACAACTCACACAGACACCAACTCACACCTCACACAGACACCAACTCACACCGACACCAACTCACACAGACACCACCTCACACAGACACCACCTCACACAGACACCACCTCACACAGACACCACCTCACACAGACACCACCTCACAGACACCACCTCACACCGACACCACCTCACACAGACACCACCTCATCACACAGACACCACCTGACCTCACACAACTCAATAGGTTTTGTCATTTCAAAGATGTTAAGAGTTACCTTTGAGCATCTCTCCCATCTTCTTTTTCTTCCTCTCGTCTGACTCGATGCGAACCTGCAGCTTTTCAATCCCAGTCCTCATCTGCTGGACCTCCTCTTGGGTTGAGTTCAGGCGAGAGGCAATCTCTCCCTTTTCCAGAAGAGAAGACTCCAGAGACTGTGAGAGGCGGCACACTTCTCCCTGTAACGCCTTTAGGAGAAAGAGGAGTAACAATTAGGGGGTATCTTAAATCTAATTGATAAAGCTTTGAAAACATAAAACCTAAAATAGCAAGCTTTTTGATAATGGGTTCTCTGAGGAAACTTAAACACAAGTAGTAACAGCCCCTCACCTGTATCTTGCCGACCATGGACTCCGTGTTGTTATCGGCTGATGTGTGATCTTCTTGGATTTGGTCCAGCTTCCCGATCAGCTCATCTCTTTCTCCACTCTGATGGGATATTGCCTGCTCCAGTGCCTTAACCTGATCCAGCAGCTTCAAATATGAGAAGAAAACAAACACAAGGTCAAGATACCCATCTGGAGTTTGTGCCTCTGGCCTGATGAAGCCAACCTAACAAGATGACAGACTTGTGGACTTTACTTAATGCTACCAGCAGGGTATATGCAGGAATCCTGAAGTCAAATGTAATACCTTTTAAGACCTTTTTTAAGACCCTTTCCATACATTTTAAGACCTATCGCCACTTCGAGTTCTAACCGGTTACATTGGCGACACATTTACTATATACAGTATTGATTGTCCTTCCTCCTTATCTTCCAACCATTTGGACGCAAACTTGCATTTCCCCATAACGATGTTGTTTAACAACCGGCGTAAACGGACCTTCGTGCGCTATCAAGCAGTGAGCGTGCGATGTCCTGTTCAGATGACGTCAAATCCAACGGGATGCCATAAATAAACTACACAGAATCACACTACACACCTACGCAATGATTACATTCAGGCAGACTGTAGAATACAACCTCTTTGGACAATTTATATACTTATTGAAAACAAGCTACAAAATGTAATACCTTGGAAAATGCCGTTTAATACTTTTTAATACTTTTTAATAGTCTTAATTTTGGCTAAATTGATTTATCAACTTTGAATACTTTTTAAGACCCCGCGGACACCCTGCACCAATGTAAGCCACTTCTAAATAAATGTCTCTTTCGACCTGCACCACATATTTTAAGTGACACAATGTCCGGGCCCTTGACTCTTTAATGTTACATGTAATTACCTGCTGCCTCTCAGTCTTCAGTTTCTCCATGCTGCTTTGAAGGGCTTCATACTCCTTCCTCCCTGCTCTGATGTCATCCTCCAGGATGGAGATTAGGTTTCTGGTGTCACAGTTCGTGTTCTCCAGGTTGTGAACTTTGTCTCTCCATTGGCCCATGGACTGGTTCAGGTCGTCTCGCTCCTCGGTGCAGGACACAAGTTCAGACCTGAGCTGGGTTGTCTGGAGAAAATGAAGGATTGAGAATAGCAACACTAATGGATCAGTAGGCTTAAAAAACACAATGTTGTTTTAGCTCTTGACGAGTGCTCACCTCTGTCCTGAGAGTTTCTATCTGCTGCTCCATGCCTGAACATGTCCTCCTCTGCGTCTCCATCTCAGTCCCCAGTTTGCTCCTCTGCCCCTGCAGGGTCTCCAGCTCAGACTCCATGCCCAGGATGTGCTGCTCCAGGTTAGCTTTCTCAGAGCGAACCCTCCTCAGCTCACTCTCCTGCTGAAAGAATTTCTCGTCCCAACCACCTACAGAACCGAGGAAAGTGTCTAATCACTACCAACACGCAATTACAAAGAACAGACCTTAAAGCCTGCACATGCCCTTTCTGTGCAGGGAAGTGTAAGCTGCTCCTAAACATATGAACACAAACTATGGTTGCTCTTTAATTGCAGGCACTCACAACTAAATGTATTTAACATTCAGCACCTTGTTGAGGACTGATGTTTAAGATCCGTAAATAATCTAGTATGATGAAGTTAATCCCTCACATGCAGAGAGATATTTACCTTTGGCCATCTCTAGTCCTTCCATCATCTCCATCACATCAGTCAGCTGGAATTGAGCTGTTTGCAGCTGCTGAGTTAAGGTCTCCCTCTCTTCTGACAGCTGGAACAACTACAATTAGAACATGGTATTAGTATCTTTGAAGTGTAAACTTGTCATTTATTATTTAAGTGGCATTCATTCTACAATTTCTTTGCTCATACCTGGTCAGCAGCGACTTTCTTTTCCTCCACAGCGATGCTCAGCTTATGCGCTGCACCCTGTGCCTGCTCCTCTGTTGCTTGAAGTTTCGTCTCCAAGTTTTGAACTTGGACTTCCAGTTCGGAGGTCAACTCCATTCTCAGTGCCAGGTCCGAACTCAGTGAATCAAACTCTGAGCGCAGGGTCTGGAGTTCTTGTTTTGTGATCATAGCTGTGTCAGCTTGGACCTGGGATGACTCTGAAAATGTAAAACAAGACATTTAAACATAATTGTACAGATTTAAAGTTGTACAATGTAGTGTGAATCAAATTGTATCTAAATCATCATTAAGTCTGTGACCCTGGGAGTCTAACCAAGGTTGTGACTCTTCTTGCCTTAGCAATAGCAAGTAGCTTCATTTTTAAGTTCTAAACATTTTTTTTTAAATTATCACTTTAACCTGTTAAGCCCTGAGCCTGTTTTTCAGGTCTCGAAAATGACATTCCCAGAACAAATGACTTTAACTTCCCTTCTAAAAAGGGGTAAATTAATAATCTTTTTTCTCAAAGCAATGATAAACCTGTGAGTTGGATGTAGAAAAGCCAGAATCAATATAGAATGTTTTTATTTTAAAGTAAATTCAGATTGAACATAGTAAAAAAATGTAAATTATAGTTTCCGTCCAAAAAAAACACATTACTTATAGTGAAAACCACCCTTGAATGATGGTAAGGTAGACTAAAAGCTTTAGGAATCCAAACTATAACATATAATAAGTACCCTGTATCAAGATTGATGCAAAACAAGTGACATTTGACCTTTTTAAGAGAGATTTAGAAAAAAGAAACCACTTCTGGGGTCATTTGGATGGATTTTCCATATCTCCGGCCCCCCTCGTTCGATTTTGATGATTGACATCTCTTTTTAACCGTGAGAGCCAATAGAATCGAGGGGAAGTTCCTAAAATCCATCTAAACATTACCCATTGGTGAATGAGTGATGCGTAGCCAGAATGCCTGTAAAGCTCTGTGTTGTGATGTCTGTTTTTGCTTCCCCTGTCGCGAGTTCTGATCGCTCAGTGATGATACCAATACCTGTAGAATCTGTGGAATCTCAACTTGCTAATCGATATCTTGTTTGTGCAGATCAGATATGTAATACGGGTATTTACACCTAGAGAGTTCTGTGCTAAGGGTGTTTGCATTTTTTCGCTCAGGGCTCATTTAGACGCTTCTTGTGACACTTGTGTTTTGTTTCGGTAAAAATGGTTCATATCGTCAGTTAGCTGAGTTTCTTCCCGTTAAGTGGGTATGACACATTAATAGGTTTTTAAATGTTAAGAAGCCCTGAGACACAGTTTCGTGAAAGAAAAAAAAACGCGGGTGGGGGCTGCGGGTTGAACAGGTTAATACTAAGTAGCAGAATTGAACAATGTAAGTATTTTGCAGAGAACTTTGAGATTAGTACCATCCCTAGTGTGAAACAAAGTTAATATCGTAAGAACAAAATCTGGAATTGATAAGAGTCAAGAGCACCATTCAATTACTCACCAATGGACTCCAAGTGTCTGGTCTCCCCAATGGATGATGATGATGGTAGAGACATCTCACAGATTTCAGGTGTGCTTTCAGGGACATCTTTGGGACTACTGCCGTCTTCAGGAAGCTGCAAGAAACAAGATGAAATTCGAACAATGTCATAATCAATTCAGTCAATAGGTAGTAAAGACATATCAGTAACAACTATCAAATCCCTGAGTACATGTATGATAAATCAATAAATGAAGTACCCCTGAACATATACCCATTAAAGTTACCTGATGCTTCTCCTCATTACAGCTCACTTCCTCAACATCTGCCACACGTGCCTCCCTCTCCTCCTCCAGCTGTTCCTGGATCATCTCTTGCTCACTGATGTCCTCCTTGAACACCAGCTCTGTCTCACTGCCAGGTTGAAAGAGATTAGATTTATTGATCACATTATAAAACAAACAGGATAATAATTAGGGATGGGTATCGTTAAGGTTTTAACGGTACTACTACTTTTATCGATACCGCTTATTGATCCGGTCTTTTAACGGTACTTTTGGAGAAAGAAACAAGGTAAACTAACTAAACAAATTGTGAACAAAACTAACATTGCTTTTTATTTAAATTAAATGCATAATATTTCACATCAAAAAGAAACAACAATGTTTTAACAAATCGTATTAAATAATCGGATGACAGAACTGTAAACAAAATAGCTGAAACTTTAACTAAATAAATAACTCGGTTACATCTAATCATTAACCCATGTTTGTATAATTGAGTTAACTCCATGTGTTGCTGCTATAGCATACATAACACCTGACGTGGAAACGTTACTCGTGGATGGGGCTACAGAGCTTCTAGAAAGACAGTCGAAAACGGTGCATTTCTCCGTCTGAATGTGGAGCACTTTTGCTAAATGTTTAGACAAATTGCTCGTGTTACCGCCCTTACATGCTAAAGTCTTATTGCACTTTTGGTAACGAGCATTGTCCACATCGAGACGGGTAAAGTTTCACCACACCTCGGAGCGCTTAGTTCTCTCTGCCATCTCCTCCGTGTGTGTGTTGCATGCGTGTGTGTAAACTGCCCCGCCCCCTCGCAAGCAGGCGGGGGAGAGAAATCTCTCGTCTGGATTGGAAAGATCGAAAATACTAAAAATAATCATAGACGCATTTTGCAGTCTTTTTGCGTATTAGAAACGGAGTTGGCGACACTAAAACTGCAATATAATGTAATATATATATATATATATATATATAACCGATAACGTCAGAGCTTAACGGTACCACGGTCTTTAATAATTCAGCCCCGGGGCCCGATTAATACTGGGGGCTCGGTACCCATCCCTAATAATAATGTATTGGGGCTTTTATAAAACGCATTGTACCTGAAGTCCTTGTCAGAATGGTGGGAAAGTTCCAGTTCAGACACCTCAGGGCTCAGCTGTTCATTTACTGGAAGGGACTCAAGACTGGAGCTCGTATCAAGTGTCAGCTCTACATCAATCTGCCCTGCTGCTTCTGATGGGGGAAAAAACGATTATTAAACATAAATATGTGTATTTGAATTAAAAGCAGCAGCAGTTTTGGTTCACACTCACCAACAATATCCAATGTCTCCTGGTTCTCCATGTGGATGATTTGTTCTCCTGGGTGCTGGGTACCTTGTGGTCCAGAGAGCTGCTGTATGAGGCTGTGCTGCTGGCCCACCTGCTCCAGCAGGGAGTCGTACAGCAGCTTCAACTCAGTCAGCTCCGTCTGTAAACTCGCCAACTTCTGATGCAGCTCAGCCTGCTCCGCCTCAAACTGTCGGTTCCTGTGATACATGGGATTTATAAAATGGTGGAAGTGAACACACATTCATATAAAAACTAAAAGTTCTAAACTTGATTTAATGTACAGAATATGAGGGTTCAAAAGACATTGAGCTCCAATACTTGAGCTCATTATTAAATAAACCCACAGACATGTCAATAACGGTTTGTTTACCCCCGAAAAATGACAAGTAACTTGTGGTAGAATAAATATCCGTTTCCATTGCATTACTTGTGCTTTTTGACAACATTTAAAAAATATATATATATATACACATACATACTCAAAAATGTAAATCAAACTGTACCTCTCTCTGTTCTCCTCCTCGGTCCTCTTCAGCTGCTCTTTAAGTGAAGCCACCTCGTCTTCCCGCCGCTCTATGCTGTCTTGTAGCAGCAGCTTCTCCTCGGTGACTTGATCCACACTAGACTGTAGTCTGATTTTCTCCTCGGTGACTTGATCCACACTAGACTGTAGTCTGATTCTCTCCTCAGTGACTTGATCCACACTAGACTGTAGTCTGATTTTCTCCTCGGTCAGCTGATTATAATTGTCTTCTAGATGAAGCTTTTCCTCAACTACTTGATTACATTTAGTGACAGCGTTACTGTTTTCAGAGACTAGCTCATTTAGTTTAGACTCGAGTTGGGCCTTCTCCTCAGTAATTAGAGTGAGGGTAACATCGAGTTGGGCCTTCTCCTCAGTAATTAGAGTGAGGGTAACATCGAGTTGGGCCTTCTCCTCAGTAATTAGAGTGAGGGTAACATCGAGTTGGGCCTTCTCCTCAGTAATTAGAGTGAGGGTAACATCGAGTTGGGCCTTCTCCTCGTTGACCTGTCTCAGAGTTGATTCAGCGACTTGTTTCTGAGCGGTGAGTTGATCGACCTTCTGATTTTCCTCAGTTAACTGCTGAATGTTGTTCTGCAGTTGTTTGTTCTTCTCAGAAAGCTCATCCAAACTGACCTCCAGCTGTTTCTTCTCTGCATTTACTCGAATCATTTCAGTTTCTACTGTCTCTTTATCATCTGTTACCTGTTTCAAAGAAGCTTCAAGGCAGTTTTTCTCTTGTTGTAACTGGTTAAGACTATTATCTTTGTCTTCAATTACCTGCCTGAGAGTTGTCTCTAACTTGACATTTTCCTCTGTGGCCTGACAGAGCTTAGACTCAAAAGTAGCAACGCTCTCCTCCAGCTGTTTCTGATTGGCGACGTCCTCTTCGAGACGAGTAATTTCATAGCTCCTCTCCATCAGCTCGTCCCTTGCTGTGACAAACTGCGTCTCCAGCACTGAGTTCTGGGATTGGACATCTTCTAAACGGGTTTCCAGGACAGAGACCTGAAAATAATTGTAGATTGAATCTAATTAGTACTGCAATATACCATATCAGCATATCAGGTCTTTTATATGTGCAAAGTAACTAGTAACTGTGAGTCCTTAAGTAAATGTAGTGGAGTAAAAAGTAAAATATTTTCCTCGGAAATGTAGATGTAGAGATTTGCTCACTGAAGGCTGAATTCAACCGATATTTTTATTAAAATGTCTTCTTAGTCTGGTGCAGCCGCGGCGTTATGGGTGGGCCTACTGGGCCTAGGCCCACCCACTCTGTCACTGGGCCCACCCATTCATTGATCAAAAATGACTGGGCGAAAATATAGTTTCCAAATTTTTTATTTTTTATTATCAAAACTAACGATTACATAATAAAATAAGAGCAAACATGTGTTTCCCTTTAAAAAAAACTTAGAAAATTAAAAGCAACATGAATTAATGTAATCGGGCAAGGCAAAATGTGAATTTGGACCGAACTCATAGTGGAAGCGCGGGAGCAAACACATCGTAGAACGTCTCGCGGGCACGCAGATGGAGGACAGTGGACTGGACAGACACAAAAAATATACCGCACTCACTAACGATTTCACAACAATCGATGTTCAGGTTTTCATTTGAAAGAGTAAGACAAGTCATCCTCACAGCAGGTGCCGCCTCAGAGAGACGAGAGTGTGTTTAATGTTGTGCCCCGCTGAGCTCAGTCCCTCTGCGGGACGTAGCACCCGTTGCAGGTCAACAGAAAATAGCATCCCAGTGCCGGACCTCTCAGCCATAGATGACCCGGCGGCTACACAGCCAAATCTCATAAAGTACCCTCAGACACTTTTCGGACAAAGGAAAAGGAGCTCCGCTGCCCACTGGTATGTCAAGAACACATTATTGGAGTATAGCATTAGCAAGGACAGTGTGTTTTGTAAAATGTGCCGGCATTTTAGTGAGAGGCGGGGCCGGCGGAAAAGATACATTCAGTCGCCATGGTTACAGGGACTGGAAACATATCGACTATGCTCTCAGTAAACACGAATGCAGCTATGGAGAGAAATACAAACTACAGACAGTGCGAGAAGTCTGACCATGGAACCATCCTCCATCAGCTACTCAACCCAGAGGGCCGACAGGGAGAGATCATTGAGAAAAATCGGGAACACGTAAAGTTTTACCGGACATAATTGTCACATGTGCAAAGCAAGAGATTCCTCATTTCATATTGAGACTAAATATCTAGGGAAATGATTAAGAAACGTAGAGCTAAAATGTGGTGCCATTTGCAACTACCAGATCGCACCCAGACGCGGCAGGCATTCTCCAGCCCAAATCAGCAAAGCTTATGAGTGTGAAGCAACAGTATCTGCTGCCCAGCTGCTTTAGGATGAAACGTATACTTCAGCTCATGAAAGCTCTGCAGTATCAGAAGGAAGTAGCCTAATGATAAATCTGCAGCCTCTGAAAAGTGCCGCGTCAGAGAACCAGTGCCTTTTACGCACGGCCGCTCACTTCGCTAGATCCGCTAAAGGACAGCAGGCTGCAGTCTAACCACACAGACACACATCAGGTGTTCGCTCATTATTCCATATTCTGCCGTTGTATGCTCTTTGTTTCTAAACGTATCAATGTATTGTGAACCAAAACTAAATCACATGCAGTATAACATTTATTTTCACTCATTGCGGCGTGCCACTTAATCATTTAAATAATATTTAAGCTTCTCATAAGTGAAAATGTTTAAAAGAGAAGGGTTTTGAAAAAGTGTCTTTACTATAGGAAATATGCATTACACAGTTGCCTACAATGATATGCAGCCATTTATTTTTATTGCATTTTTGTTAACGAGAAACATCTATTAGAACAGGCCCAGCCGAAATTACATTGGCCCACCCACAATTGAAATCCTGGCGCCGCGGCTGGTCTGGTACACAATTATACTGATCCAAAGTCCGAAATCTCTTCCATTTCTGACTCTGGGTCTAGGTCTAGGTCAGGCAATTCTTTAATGTCGTCGTCTGTCTGTGAAACATAAAACAATTATTATTGTGTTGTCTATGTGCAGTGTTTTTTATTAAGAAAACAGAAGTTGAGTTAACTCTGCATCAATGGGTGTGCACAAGTATGCTGTGATCAATTGCATTAAAGATGATTTACTATTTTGATTTATTTTTTGGATAAACTTTAGTAAAGAAACTAAAGCGTTGAGTATTAGCTTTTTTACAGTTTTCACGAGTGTAAGTGTAGACATGTGTGCCACTGAATTGAATTCTTACATCAGCAAAGGAAGTGACGCTGTAGTTTTCTCTGTTGCTGGAGATGGAGGTCTGCTCGTTAATATCTTCCTCCTCCTCCTCAGCAAACTCAAAAGTCTTATCATCAAAGTTCGCAATCTCTTCGATTTCGGACTGTTTCTCCTCAATGTGCTGTTTATTGACAGCAGCCTCCAGTTCACTTTGCAGTCTTTTGTTCTCATAGGCGAGGTGTTGGTTCCTCTGAGTCAGACGGGCCAGTTCTTCTGCTTCCTTCTTCTGCTGAGAGACAGCAGCCTCGTAGTCCCTCTGCAGTCCCTCCAAAGCCAGGGTCTTCTCAGACAGCTCTTTCTCTTGGCTCTGGATCTTCTGTGAGGCTCTGGAGAAACGAGCCTCCTCGTTCTTAAGGTTCTCCTCCAGTCTGCTGTAAGCTCTTCTGTCGTCCTGAAGCTTCTTCTCCTCAATGTGCTGTTTATTGACAGCAGCCTCCAGTTCACTTTGCAGTCTTTTGTTCTCATAGGTGAGGTGTTGAGTCAGACGGGCCAGTTCTTCTGCTTCCTTCTTCTGCTGAGAGACAGCAGCCTCGTTGTTCATCTGCAGTGAGCTGCTTTTTGTTTGCTCCTCTGCTTTGGCTTTTCTCTCCTCATCCAGGGCTTCCTGAAGGCCAGATGATTTGTCATATCTCTCAGATCTTTCAGAGTCCTCTGTCTGTGAAACATAAAACAATTATTATTGTGTCGTCTATGTGCAGTGTTTTTATTAAGAAAACAGAAGTTGAGTTAACTCTGCATCAATGGGTGTGAACAAGTATGCTGTGATCAATTGCATTAAAGATGATTTACTATTTTGATTGATTTTTTTTGAAAAACTTTAGTAAAGAAACTAAAGCGTTGAGTATTAGCTTTTTTACAGTCTTCATTAGTGTAATTGTAGACATGTGTAGTTTTTCTCTTGTTGAAAACTGATCTTACTCTGTCCATCTTATTCATCGTGAAGAAATAGCTGCTTCTTGCTGATAATGTGAACTCGATGTGGCTGGGATAAAACCTGGCTTGTTATCGTCCTGCACAAACTGCAAATAAGTTGTGTAGCTATTTAACCAGAGAGCATGCTCTCTTGCAGACAATATGATATGACATCATCAGGTTCAGTAAGACTTCAGAGCCGAACATTCCGGAATGTGCTTTGGTCTATACCGACACATTCTACATTCCATTTCAAAGTATTCTACATTCAATTTCAAAGTATTCTACATTCCATTTCATTTCAGACATTCCATTTCATTTCAGACATTCTAAAAGTATGGAGGAAAGTCACCTGATAAGCAAAGTTAGTTCATGGAACTAAAGAGCAGATCGCGTTCACACCAGAATAAGTTCCTGAGGGAAGATTACGCAAATGAACCCGCTGACGTCACTTCTTCTTATTCTTCTGCTTTGGGTTTACTGGCAGGCCGCAAACAACTTCATGGCGTATCCTGCCACCCAAATTCCCCGGCCATAGTTGGGGACTGGCTTCAGTAGAAGCTGCTGGGAAGCTCCTCTGAGTCCCCACGAGTCTGCAGGAAGTTTCACTGATCCACGTCCCCTCCCCTGAGCCAAACGATAACTTCTGGCAGCTATCCTACTTGCTAAAGGGTAGGCAGATGGACTGTGGTACGTTGTAATGTGATTTTACATGTTATAAAGAGAGTAGGGGTGTAACGGTATCCGTATTCGTCCCGAACCGTCACGGTTCGGCGCATGCAGTCACACGACGAATACGCCTTTTTTTTATGAAGGGAAAAAAGTCTGTCACTCAGGGCAGTATCCATTACACTATATATCAGGGGTCGGCAACAGGCGGACCGCGGTCCGGATCCGGACCCAGACGCCGACCTATACGGACCCGGACCTATAATCAATACATTAATAGGGGATTTCAATTTTGACGGGGCGATTCTATTTTAACCGCCGCCGACAGGGGGCGAAAGAGACGAGTGAGCGATACAGGGAGAGAAACACAGAAGAAGAGACGAGAGAGCGGCAGAGAGAAAAGTGAGTGAAGAGAATAATTAGCGATACAGGGAGAGAAGCGGTGAATGTGAATACATTTTGGAATACTTTTTGGAATTATTGGTGGAAAAGTTTCCTCATAAAATGTAATATTCATTACCAGCAGAACTGTGTGCACACTGCACAGCGCTGCAGCATGTCTGTGAGGCCCCGCGCCCGCACGCAGATCAGAGAGAGAGAGATCTCTTTTAAAATATATAGAAACGGAGATGGTTCGATAAAATGTGCAAGATAACGTTTATGTAGCATTTCTTTATTGTCGAAATGATGACATTTCATAACGGGATCAAATCAAAGTGAATGGCCTGCTGCTGCTGAATGCATGGGGCAAGTGACTGGAAACAGTTTTAAAAGTTATTACGTCGTTTCAGATAATAAATAATAATAGTAATTCATTCTATTTAGGGGCGCCTTTCAAAGCACCCAAGGACACCTGACAATTCATAACATATTCTAAGGAAAGGTTTAAGAGAGTACAAATAATGCAGTCCTGGTGATGTTTTTATGGGGTGCAGATGAGAGGGAGCTGTCCAGAATGACCCAAAGATGTTGTGTTTGAGTTGTGCTCTTGATAAGCCATTAAAACAGTAAAAATAAGTGTCTCCTGTTCACCAAAACATACCCATCTGTTATGGAAAAATAAAGTATTCTAAAAGTAATCTGAATACGTTACTTTTTTAAGACACGTAACTCTAACTGTATTCAGATTACTTTCAGAGCCATGTATTCAGTAACCGATTACATTTACAAAGTAACCCTCCCAACCCTGATTAAAAGTGTTTGACCAAACATTCAAAAAATAAGCAGTCTCAGAGCCCAATATGATCAGTCCACCAGGATCAAAATTAAAACTAAATATCGTTCCAGGGCAGGCTAACCGAGGCTAACCAATGAGCACCTGCATGTGTGTATGAGAATGGCCCTGACACCATTTCAGCCCAGATTTAAACTCCTGGCAGGACAAGCTCAAGCTCAATTCTCGCATTGAATTAAAGAAAAGTGAGTGAGGGACTGCAATATAAGAGGGAAAGAAAGAGAAACTTTAAAACTGTTCAATTGTTATGATGTGTATGTTCTATAATCGTCTGAAACTGTTAAGTCATGATGTGAAACGGTTAACAAAGCTATTTTATTTATTTCTCTATTTTATTTTTAAATGCAGCCCGAGAGGAACATTACACATATCCACAGTATTTACTGTATATCTGTATAGTTCAATGTTCATTGACAATAAATATTGTTGTTTTTGAATTGTACTTTCTTTATCTGATTGGCAGTCAGTTGTTGATTACATGCAGACGTTGATACAGCTACAGGCTACTTCAATATATATCACACTAATTCATAAAGCAAGTTAGATATTTTGATGTTCCGGACCTTTGCATGGGGACATTTTCTCTAACTGGACCTCGTTGAATTTTAGTTGAATACCCCTGCTGTATACTCTATTGCAGGGGTTCCCAAAGTGGGGGCCGCGAGATAATAAAAAATAAAAATAAATATGTATTATTATCCAGTGTTTCCCACAGAATTTGATTCTATTTGTAGGGGCACCCCATCCAAATGAGCCATAATCTCATTAAATATGCGCATTTAATACATTTCAGGAACACCTTTCTGAACCAGTCAGGTTCGAAATTCTAGTTTCATTTTGTAGTCATATTGGAATCTAACGTTTTTACAGAAGTTTTGTGTTTTTATGTCTTCATGTGGAACCTACTTGCAGCAGGTCTCCCTTGAAAAAGAGATCGATGATCTCAATGGGATTCACCTGGTTAAATAAAGGTTTGAAATTAAATGAAAGGGATTTTGGATATCACTCCATAAATCAGAAAATACTGTCAACAGCCGTAAAATATCAATTTTCGCCATATTTTTAGGTATAAAATGTTATATAATTTGGGCTATGAATGATATATGAACAAACTCTTCCGTAAAAACCTTCAGAATATTGATAGGAATATAACTGGAAGGTTTGGTGTATACAAGTGCTACTGAAGTGGAAATGTCTCACTCGGAATAGGAGAAAAAACTAATTTTGAGAAAACGACCTTTAAAGATTGCTGTGTGGCACTAACTAAACCCTCCTGTTCTTTGGATGACAGCTTGCGCCTCGACGCACTCCGTGAAGGTATTTCATGTTCGGGACCATTTGTTTTTTGTCTAACATTGCTTCGTGCAAGTGACAATTGTTGTCGTCTTGTCTGTGAACGTTTTTATCGCTGTTCTTTTGCCATTTTGAGATTTAAATTTCCAGCGAAAGCTAAACCAATAAGTGTTTTAGCACACCACGTGACGCATCTGAACGAATCACGTTGTCAGAAATTGACACCAGCCAATGATATTTAGTTGTTTGGTTTAAGACCCCTTTGTACTTTCACGATTGGTTGCTGATACAAAGGAAATGACCATATTTGGATCCGATGAGATTGTGCAGGAGAGACGGAGCTTTCCAACGATATCTGAGGTGCAAACAGCGGTCGCGGCACTGAATTTAGGAGAAATCTACAGACGCAAATAGACAAACTATAGTAAAATAAACACCTAAATGTGTATTTTGTTTCCTTCCAAAAGCCTGAAAGAAAACATGTTATGGAATCAAAATAGCACAAAATCTCAAAATTGACCAGTGCATGAAAAACGATGTTTTTGCCTGCCGTGTGTCGCCTTAATGAGTGAGACACACCGGACTTGAGGATCTGTGGGGTTTGTATGTCGATGTATGGGAAACACTGTTATTTGTCTTACTATTATTCATAATAACGTGTGCATAGACATGTTTCAGGGGCGGACTGGCCATCTGTAGAATGTCCCCGCAGCGAGGCTCCCCCCTTTGACAATTCACTAGCACCACCCCCCGTTGACAATTCACGTGGTGGGGGGTCGCCAGTCTCTGGCACTGTTATTTTGGGGGTCGCGGGCTGAAAGATTTGGGAACCCCTGCTCTATTGTGCTTCCTGCTATTTCGTATATCTTTTAAGTTATCATAAAACAAATTAAACTCACCCATGTGATTGCAAAAAAAAAGACCAGGCACATTATGAAGCAGTAAAAGTTTAGTATAAAAAGGCCAATGATCAGTAACAATTAACTATAAACATACAAAAAGGAGAGTTATAAATCACATCTGCTTTTATCATTTTCTGCAAAGATTAGTAAGAAAAGAATGTTTTAAAAAACATGTGTTCTTGAGTTTAACTACAAAAATATTAATGCATAAAATCTACAAAATCTTAGCTGCCATGAGAAAATATATGATATGATACAGGACTAACAGATAGACGATGAATAGTTGATTTACTGTATATTATCGACTATGTACAAGGCTCAAGACTCTCGCAAACAAAGGACACAAATACAGTACAAAAGGAAATAAAGTACAACCAGAGTGGTAAAGACAAGGAAACAGTTGCAAGCTGAAGCCATGAAGAAAGAGGAGCAGAAAAAGGGGATCTTCGAATTCACACTAGAACACTCGTCTGACATTTCAAGGAGTTTCCTTAAAAATCTCTTTAGAAAAATAGTGCTTTGAAGAAACTCAACACTCGTTTAACCTGCCTCATCATCTTATATTGGTTATTGATTTGTTTGTAATGCGTTTAAACCATCCAACAGATAAATGAGACATTGACGGGTGTAGTTGTGACTTTAAAGACCCAGAAAAACCCAGTGCCAACCCCAAATATAAAGAAAATAAATGAGTCTTTATGTTAACGTGTGATTTTAAAAAGGTGGATTGTTTATATTAATGACGCATGCATGTGTATATTTCTGCAAACATATCACAAGTGCAAAACTGTGTCTATCATAATCTACTGGACGTGGCAGTTGTCTTCTTGTTTCTCTGGTGTCTGGTGGACACTCAGCGAGCGGTGTGCAGATTTCTCCTCACCATTCGGGGAGAGACAGGGCATGGACCCCAAGACCTGTGGAGGAAGAGCAAGACAAGATAAGAAGAGTGAAAAAGAATTGGAAGTGAATATTTGAACTTTACACAACAAAAGGACTGTGTCTGGAACTGGACTCCATTGATCACTCTGCTCTGCTTTATACCATGTATTCATTATAAAGTATAAAGTAGCAACAAGATTAGCTGTTTTGAAGAACATGCCATTTGTGTTGACACGCAAATGTAGCGTATTTTGTGTAGCTGGCTGTCGGGTATAAGTAGCACAGACAAGGGGTGTGTGTGTGTGTGTGTGTGTTGCTGCTCACCATGCCATCAGAAGAGGGAACCGTCTGTTTGGCAGCGAGTCGAGGACTGCAGCGCTTCACTGTGGTTCTCCTCATGATGAACGGACTGGCCTCCCCCAGAGGAATATCACCAAAACCTGCCAGAGAACAAATTATTACTTTTCTCATCCTTAAATGTTTTGTAAAATTGTACCAGCATTTAAATTGTTACATTTACTGCATACATCTAAATCCATAAGGGGTTAAAAAAAGAAACAGGTGTTTTCTTCCCTATATTTTGATGAACTTGAGTTGCAGTTACATTACCTCTCTGCACCAGCTCAGGCAGCCCCTCTGGTCTGAACTCCTCGTCTTCCTGCTCAGTTTTTGGTTTGGGTGTAGTCACTGCGTTGGCTTTGATCTTCTTTGTCAGGTTGTGCAGGGCCTCCTGGGCGCTGTCTTTATTACTGATGTCACGGTGAGCTCGTTTCCCTTGAGGAGACCTCTGCAGAGTTAAAGGTGCATTGTTCTCTGTGTTCTCATCCAGTTTTTCCTCTGGATGTTTGGAGTAAGACTTCCTCCCTGAGCGGCGCCGGCGAGTAGCGTCCGCGCCGCTGGAGGGGACGTTTGATTCGTTAGCTGGTCGGCTAGCAGTGAGCTGCTCCAGCCGGGTCGTCAGTGAATCGTTGGTCTCTTCCAGTTTGTGGACTTTAAGCATAACGCTGCAGTATTTTTCTATGCTCTCGTCGGCCTCCTTGCTTTTGTCTTCCAGGTTTTGGTTTAGTTCGTCAAACTCGCTCTTCATCTCCTGCAGCTCTCCGTTCCTCTCTTCTATCTCTTTCTTCTTTCCATCGAGGGCAGCCTTAAGTTCTTCCACTTCCTTACTTTTTTGTTGTGACTCCACTATTTTTTCTTCTGCCTCCACCTTCTTCTGCTGCAGAGCACTCTTCAGGTCTTCCACTTCCTTCTCTCTCTGCTCTGCCGCCTCCTTCAGCTGCTTCGCCTCAGTCTCCACCGCGTCGCTGCTCTTTACGTCACCTGTGACACAAATGTGCCCCATGTTAACAAAATAATTAGTTTGCACTGTCGAGGGAGTAAGTCGCCATGTGTAGTGAAAATCACTCCAAGTCTGGGCATATTGAGAGCTGTACATACACACAAGGGGAGTTACTCGGTTCCGTAAGAGCCAGCATGCGGGACCGGGATTCTGGGATTTGTAGTCTTTCTAGTTGCGTATTTTTCATAGTCTTATATTTCAACAGTTTTACGACAAACTGTGACTTTTTTGACATGGAAATTATTTTTTAAGATTGACAAACATCATACGTGTAATTCGTGGCCCAATTCAAACGGGATCGAGAGATACGTTTTCTCTCTCCATTGACTTCAATGCATAATGTTTCCGAAATAAGGTCCCATGGAGGTCCACCGGAAAGGGAGGGACTTCGCCTCTCTATAGTGATACCGTAGCTCTTCTGTTTTTAATCAAAAATAGTATAATGATACAACCTAATTACTTAATCGTTCACATACTTTCATGACATCTTGGATTGATTTGTAAACACAAACTAATGTCTGTGTACAGATAGAGAATTCTGGTCAATCCTGATTTCTTACACATGGGATGGCGCAGGTCTTGTATGTCATGAAAGTAGTATGTTCATCCTGTTTTATTTATGTATTTATTACAGAAGCATTTGAATGCGTTTCCCCACCTGAGCCGTTCAGCATCTCTTGCTTCTCCTGCTCCAGCTGTTTGCAGGTCTTCATCAAGAGACTCATCTTGCCTCGGGCAGAGTCTCTCTCTTTGGACAGACGAGCGGCCTGAGACGTTAGCTGTGACACCTGAAACAGACCGAAAGAGATAGGATTTAGTCATGCTAAACATAACATAACATCAAATGAAACAAGATATCATTCATACTATGTTGTCTGTTTATCTTGAATTCACTTATTTATTAGGATACATGCCGAATGGTTGGCACGTGGGGACATTTGAGACTTAAATAGAACTATGTGTGTGTTGGAGCCATAATGCATGTGTCTTTGTATTTTATCTGGACGTTTAATTAATGATGCAGTTCCAACTTTCTACACAAGATGGAGTATTCACTTGTGTGTGTGTGTGTATAAATGTAATCACTGGGTGATCAGGTGCAGGTGTGTGGGACGGAAGCAAACAGTTTTCGATCGTGTCAGCAGAAGCCGTGTTAATATGAGCTGTATGTTAAACCTGTTTGTATTCAGCGTGACTGGCGTGCATATATTGCTATCTGAATGGTAACAGAAAGGCTATATGGACAACACAAGAAATGGATCGATGGATTGAAAGATATACACTCGTATGGACATTGTTTTGTCATCTGGAACACGCGTCCGAACTTAGCTCTCCCGTTCCCATCCCTCAGTGGCTTATGTATGGATAAGGTTAAAAAGCCACTACAGAGAGTGTGTGTGTGTGTGTGTGTGTGTGTGTGTGTGTGTGTGTGTGTGTGTGTGTGTGTGTGTGTGTGTGTGTGTGTGTGTGTGTGTGTGTGTGTGTGTGTGTGTGTGTGTGTGTGTGTGTGTACCTGCTCATTGAGCTTTGCTGCAGACTCTTTGGACTCTTCCAACTCCTTCTCCATCGAGGCAACTGTAGACTGAAGTGTCTCCTTCTCTTGTTCCAGGGAGGAAAGAGCCGAGGACAGGTTATTTTTCTCGACTTCAATCGAAGAAAGGGAAGACTGCAGTTCTTGTTTTTCCCCATCGATCTTTAGTTTCTCCTGCTCCGTTCTTTCCTTCTCTTCCTTCAATGAAGATAGAGTTTGTTGCGTGTCCTTTTCGACCAATGAGAGGTCAGCCTGTAGCTTTTCTTTCTCCTCAGCTAACACCCCCCTCTCTTGCTCCAGCCTTTCTTTCTCTCCTTCTACAGATGAAAGAGTGCACTGCAGATGATCTCTCTCTTGTTCCACTGAAGACAGAGTTGAGAGCACTTCCTCCTGGATGGATTTTACTGAAGCGTTCTTCTGCTCTGCCTCCCTCTCCAGCATTTCCCTCTTTTCTTCTTGAGCTTTATTCTGTGTTTGGAGCTCTTTTATTTCTTCCTCTAAAGCCTTAATACTGTTCCTCAGGTTGTTACTCTCCTTCTCCCACTCCTCTCCCTCAGAGCGGAGTTTCTCCCTCTCCTTCTCCCACTCCTCTCCCTCAGAGCGGAGTTTCTCTCTCTCAGTCTGCCACTCCTCCAGAGAAGTGTGCAGACAGGATTTCTCTTTCTCCATCTCCACCAGCAGAGACTGCAGCCTCTCTCTCTCCCCTTCCGTTTCTGCACCCCTTTGCTCCAGGGAGGTCTCTCTCTGCTGGGAGGCTTCCAGCTGTGCCTGGAGGTCGTCCATGTTCCTTGTTTGCCGCTCAGCTTCCTCTCTCATTCCTTTCTCCAGCTCTTTCTGCCTTTTCTCTTCCTCTCTTCTCTCCACCTCTGCCTTCTCCAACCCTCTCTCCAGCTGCTCCTTAGCGGACTTCAGTTCTTCTATCTCTCTGTTCTTTGTCTCCAGCTCACTCTCCATGTGTTCTTTCTCAGATCTCAGGTCGTCCAGTGTGGCAGACAGCTCGGAAAGTTTCTCGGTGAGTTCCCTCTTCTCCTCCTCTACCTGGAGGAAGGGAAGGTCAAAGACAGACAGCAGCAGCAGAGTTCAGAAAGGAGGAGAAGAAAATCAGGATGGAAAGGGAAAAAGCAGCATAAGAGAAAATAAACGAGACATCTGATTAATATATTGTTTGGTATTGAGAACATATAGATACATAAGAAAGGCCAACATTAAGCCAAACACTAATGAAAGTGAATATACCTTTATCCTTTCCTCCTCCAGCTCAGCTGTGGCTGTCTCAGCCTGTGTAGGAACATCAAACATTCATTTAACACAAACTAATGTCTTGACCTCTCCTACAGTATGCATTGCCATGAAGGAATGAATGGATGAATGAATGATTGAATGGATGAATGTTCTATATTATTTTAATGACTGATTGAACTCCGGCAGTATTATTTTAGATATGTTATGTTTAACTGCTATGCCTGTCATCTCTGCTCTGTGTCATCTCCTGGGTTCTGTAGTGCCAGGAGTCTGTCTTTTTATTTTCTTCCTCCCAACCCCCATCCCCTCAGGAAGCCTTTTGCCTCCTGTCAGGTCATCATTGAAAATAAGAATTTGTTCTTAATTGATTTTCCTGGCTAAATAAAGGTTCTACTACTACTAAGCAAATGTTGACACCAAACATCCTCACATGTGAGTTTCTTCCATACAATGGTTAAATTGAGACATGACAATGCAAGAAGGATGCAGTGGTTATTTTTTAAACGTATGCATGTTTGAGACTACCTGAAGCACAGCCTCCTCCAGACTCTCCTCTTGGTCTTCCTTCTCTCGCTCCAGGACAGCAATGCGATCTTGCAGCGAGTCAGATTTCCTCTGGACAGCTAGAGGGGTGAACCAACACAGTTAGACCGACACCACCTCACACAGACACCACCATACACAACTCACACCGACACCAACTCACACCGAAACCACCTCACACAGACACCACACCTCACACAGACACCACCTCACACCGACACCACCTCACACAGACACCACCTCACACAGACACCACCTCACACAGACACCACCTCACACAGACACCACCTCACACAGACACCACCTCACACAGACACCACCTCACACAGACACCACCTCACACAACTCACACAGACACCAACTCACACAGACACCACCTCACACAGACACCACCTCACACAACTCACACAGACACCAACCCACACAGACACCAACTCACACCTCACACAGACACCACCTCACACAGACACCACCTCACACAACTCACACCTCACACAGACACCAACTCACACCTCACACCTCACACAGACACCAACTCACACCGACACCACCTCACACAGACACCACCTCACACAGACACCACCTCACACAGACACCACCTCACAGACACCACCTCACAGACACCACCTCACACCGACACCACCTCACACAGACACCACCTCATCACACAGACACCAACTCACACCGACACCACCTCACACAGACACCACCTGACCTCACACAACTCAATAGGTTTTGTCATTTCAAAGATGTTAAGAGTTACCTTTGAGCATCTCTCCCATCTTCTTTTTCTTCCTCTCGTCTGACTCGATGCGAACCTGCAGCTTTTCAATCCCAGTCCTCATCTGCTGGACCTCCTCTTGGGTTGAGTTCAGGCGAGAGGCAATCTCTCCCTTTTCCAGAAGAGAAGACTCCAGAGACTGTGAGAGGCGGCACACTTCTCCCTGTAACGCCTTTAGGAGAAAGAGGAGTAACAATTAGGGGGTATCTTAAATCTAATTGATAAAGCTTTGAAAACATAAAACCTAAAATAGCAAGCTTTTTGATAATGGGTTCTCTGAGGAAACTTAAACACAAGTAGTAACAGCCCCTCACCTGTATCTTGCCGACCATGGACTCCGTGTTGTTATCGGCTGATGTGTGATCTTCTTGGATTTGGTCCAGCTTCCCGATCAGCTCATCTCTTTCTCCACTCTGATGGGATATTGCCTGCTCCAGTGCCTTAACCTGATCCAGCAGCTTCAAATATGAGAAGAAAACAAACACAAGGTCAAGATACCCATCTGGAGTTTGTGCCTCTGGCCTGATGAAGCCAACCTAACAAGATGACAGACTTGTGGACTTTACTTAATGCTACCAGCAGGGTATATGCAGGAATCCTGAAGTCAAATGTAATACCTTTTAAGACCTTTTTTAAGACCCTTTCCATACATTTTAAGACCTCATCGCCACTTCGAGTTCTAACCGGTTACATTGGCGACACATTGACTATATACAGTATTGATTGTCCTTCCTCCTTATCTTCCAACCATTTGGACGCAAACTTGCATTTCCCCATAACGATGTTGTTTAACAACCGGCGTAAACGGACCTTCGTGCGCTATCAAGCAGTGAGCGTGCGATGTCCTGTTCAGATGACGTGAAATCCAACGGGATGCCATAAATAAACTACACAGAATCACACTACACTCCTACGCAATGATTACATTCAGGCAGACTTTAGAATACAACCTCTTTGGACAATTGATATACTTATTGAAAACAAGCTACAAAATGTAATACCTTGGAAAATGCTGTTTAATAATTTTTAATACTTTTTAATAGTCTTAATTTTGGCTAAATTGATTTATCAACTTTGAATACTTTTTAAGACCCCGCGGACACCCTGCACCAATGTAAGCCACTTCTAAATAAATGTCTCTTTCGACCTGCACCACATATTTTAAGTGACACAATGTCCGGGCCCTTGACTCTTTAATGTTACATGTAAATACCTGCTGCCTCTCAGTCTTCAGTTTCTCCATGCTGCTTTGAAGGGCTTCATACTCCTTCCTCCCTGCTCTGATGTCATCCTCCAGGATGGAGATTAGGTTTCTGGTGTCACAGTTCGTGTTCTCCAGGTTGTGAACTTTGTCTCTCCATTGGCCCATGGACTGGTTCAGGTCGTCTCGCTCCTCGGTGCAGGACACAAGTTCAGACCTGAGCTGGGTTGTCTGGAGAAAATGAAGGATTGAGAATAGCAACACTAATGGATCAGTAGGCTTAAAAAACACAATGTTGTTTTAGCTCTTGACGAGTGCTCACCTCTGTCCTGAGAGTTTCTATCTGCTGCTCCATGCCTGAACATGTCCTCCTCTGCGTCTCCATCTCAGTCCCCAGTTTGCTCCTCTGCCCCTGCAGGGTCTCCAGCTCAGACTCCATGCCCAGGATGTGCTGCTCCAGGTTAGCTTTCTCAGAGCGAACCCTCCTCAGCTCACTCTCCTGCTGAAAGAATTTTTCGTCCCAACCACCTACAGAACCGAGGAAAGTGTCTAATCACTACCAACACGCAGTTACAAAGAACAGACCTTAACGCCTGCACATGCCCTTTCTGTGCAGGGAAGTGTAAGCTGCTCCTAAACATATGAACACAAACTATGGTTGCTCTTTAATTGCAGGCACTCACAACTAAATGTATTTAACATTCAGCACCTTGTTGAGGACTGATGTTTAAGATCTGTAAATAATCTAGTATGATGAAGTTAATCCCTCACATGCAGAGAGATATTTACCTTTGGCCATCTCTAGTCCTTCCATCATCTCCATCACATCAGTCAGCTGGAATTTAGCTGTTTGCAGCTGCTGAGTTAAGGTCTCCCTCTCTTCTGACAGCTGGAACAACTACAATTAGAACATGGTATTAGTATCTTTGAAGTGTAAACTTGTCATTTATTATTTAAGTGGCATTCATTCTACAATTTCTTTGCTCATACCTGGTCAGCAGCGACTTTCTTTTCCTCCACAGCGATGCTCAGCTTATGCGCTGCACCCTGTGCCTGCTCCTCTGTTGCTTGAAGTTTCGTCTCCAAGTTTTGAACTTGGACTTCCAGTTCGGAGGTCAACTCCATTCTCAGTGCCAGGTCCGAACTCAGTGAATCAAACTCTGAGCGCAGGGTCTGGAGTTCTTGTTTTGTGATCATAGCTGTGTCAGCTTGGACCTGGGATGACTCTGAAAATTGAAAACAAGACATTTAAACATAATTGTACAGATTTAAAGTTGTACAATGTAGTGCGAATCAGATTGCATCTAAATCATCATTAAGTCTGTGACCCTGGGAGTCCCACCAAGGTTGTGACTCTTCTTGCCTTAGCAATAGCAAGTAGCTTCATTTTTAAGTTCGAAACATTTTTTTTTAATTATCACTTTAACCTGTTAAGCCCTGAGCCTGTTTTTCAGGTCTCGAAAAGGACATTCCCAGAACAAATGACTTTAACTTCACTTCTAAAAAGGGGTAAATTAATAATCTTTTTTCTCAAAGCAATGATAAACCTGTGAGTTGGATGTAGAAAAGCCAGAATCAATATAGAATGTTTTTATTTTAAAGTAAATTCAGATTGAACATAGTAAAAAAAATGTAAATTATAGTTTCCGTCCAAAAAAAACCCATTACTTATAGTGAAAACCACCCTTGAATGATGGTAAGGTAGACTAAAAGCTTTAGGAATCCAAACTATAACATATAATAAGTACCCTGTATCAAGATTGATGCAAAACAAGTGACATTTGACCTTTTTAAGAGAGATTTAGAAAAAAGAAACCCACTTCTGGGGTCATTTGGATGGATTTTCCATATCTCCGGCCCCCCTTGTTCGATTTTGATGATTGACATCTCTTTTTAACCGTGAGAGCCAATAGAATCGAGGGGAAGTTCCTAAAATCCATCTAAACATTACCCATTGGTGAATGAGTGATGCGTAGCCAGAATGCCTGTAAAGCTCTGTGTTGTGATGTCTGTTTTTGCTTCCCCTGTCGCGAGTTCTGATCGCTCAGTGATGATACCAATACCTGTAGAATCTGTGGAATCTCAGCTTGCTAATCGATATCTTGTTTGTGCAGAACCGATATGTAATACGGGTATTTACACCTAGAGAGTTCTGTGCTAAGGGTGTTTGCATTTTTTCGCTCAGGGCTCATTTAGACGCTTCTTGTGACACTTGTGTTTTGTTTCGGTAAAAATGGTTCATATCGTCAGTTAGCTGAGTTTCTTCCCGTTAAGTGGGTATGACACATTAATAGGTTTTTAAATGTTAAGAAGCCCTGAGACACAGTTTCGTGAAAGAAAAAAAAACGCGGGTGGGGGCTGCGGGTTGAACAGGTTAATACTAAGTAGCAGAATTGAACAATGTAAGTATTTTGCAGAGAACTTTGAGATTAGTACTATCCCTAGTGTGAAACAAAGTTAATATCGTAAGAACAACATCTGGAATTGATAAGAGTCAAGAGCACCATTCAATTACTCACCAATGGACTCCAAGTGTCTGGTCTCCCCAATGGATGATGATGATGGTAGAGACATCTCACAGATTTCAGGTGTGCTTTCAGGGACATCTTTGGGACTACTGCCGTCTTCAGGAAGCTGCAAGAAACAAGATGAAATTCGAACAATGTCATAATCAATTCAGTCAATAGGTAGTAAAGACATATCAGTAACAAGTATCAAATCCCTGAGTACATGTATGATAAATCAATAAATGAAGTACCCCTGAACATATACCCATTAAAGTTACCTGATGCTTCTCCTCATTACATCTCGCTTCCTCAACATCTGCCACACGTGCCTCCCTCTCCTCCTCCAGCTGTTCCTGGATCATCTCTTGCTCACTGATGTCCTCCTTGAACACCAGCTCTGTCTCACTGCCAGGTTGAAAGAGATTAGATTTATTGATCACATTATAAAACAAACAGGATAATAATTAGGGATGGGTATCGTTAAGGTTTTAACGGTACTACTACTTTTATCGATACCGCTTATCGATCCGGTCTTTTAACGGTACTTTTGGAGAAAGAAACAAGGTAAACTAACTAAACAAATTGTGAACAAAACTAACATTGCTTTTTATTTAAATTAAATGCATAATATTTCACATCAAAAAGAAACAACAATGTTTTAACAAATCGTATTAAATAATCTGATGACAGAACTGTAAACAGAATAGCTGAAACTTTAACTAAATAAATAACTCAGTTACATCTAATCATTAACCCATGTTTGTATAATTGAGTTAACTCCATGTGTTGCTGCTATAGCATACATAACACCTGACGTGGAAACGTTACTCGTGGATGGGGCTACAGAGCTTCTAGAAAGACAGTCGAAAACGGTGCATTTCTCCGTCTGAATGTGGTGCACTTTTGCTAAATGTTTAGACAAATTGCTCGTGTTACCGCCCTTACATGCTAAACTCTTATTGCACTTTTGGTAACGAGCATTGTCCACATCGAGACGGGTAAAGTTTCACCACACCTCGGAGCGCTTAGTTCTCTCTGCCATCTCCTCCGTGTGTGTGTTGCATGCGTGTGTGTAAACTGCCCCGCCCCCTCGCAAGCAGGCGGGGGAGAGAGATCTCTCGTCTGGATTGGAAAGATCGAAAATACTAAAAATAATCATAGACGCATTTTGCAGTCTTTTTGCGTATTAGAAACGGAGTTGGCGACACTAAAACTGCAATATAATGTAATATATATATATATATATATATATAACCGATAACGTCAGAGCTTAACGGTACCACGGTCTTTAATAATTCAGCCCCGGGGCCCGATTAATACCGGGGGCTCGGTACCCATCCCTAATAATAATGTATTGGGGCTTTTATAAAACGCATTGTACCTGAAGTCCTTGTCAGAATGGTGGGAAAGTTCCAGTTCAGACACCTCAGGGCTCAGCTGTTCATTTACTGGAAGGGACTCAAGACTGGAGCTCGTATCAAGTGTCAGCTCTACATCAATCTGCCCTGCTGCTTCTGATGGGGGAAAAAACGATTATTAAACATAAATATGTGTATTTGAATTAAAAGCAGCAGCAGTTTTGGTTCACACTCACCAACAATATCCAATGTCTCCTGGTTCTCCATGTGGATGATTTGTTCTCCTGGGTGCTGGGTACCTTGTGGTCCAGAGAGCTGCTGTATGAGGCTGTGCTGCTGGCCCACCTGCTCCAGCAGGGAGTCGTACAGCAGCTTCAACTCAGTCAGCTCCGTCTGTAAACTCGCCAACTTCTGATGCAGCTCAGCCTGCTCAGCCTCAAACTGTCGGTTCCTGTGATACATGGGATTTATAAAATGGTGGAAGTGAACACGCATTCATATAAAAACTAAAAGTTCTAAACTTGATTTAATGTACAGAATATGAGGGTTCAAAAGACATTGAGCTCCAATACTTGAGCTCATTATTAAATAAACCCACAGACATGTCAATAACGGTTTGTTTACCCCCGAAAAATGACAAGTAACTTGTGGTAGAATAAATATCCGTTTCCATTGCATTACTTGTGCTTTTTGACAACATTTAAAAAATATATATATATACACATACATACTCAAAAATGTAAATCAAACTGTACCTCTCTCTGTTCTCCTCCTCGGTCCTCTTCACCATCCTCTTCAGCTGCTCTTTAAGTGAAGCCACCTCGTCTTCCCGCCGCTCTATGCTGTCTTGTAGCAGCAGCTTCTCCTCAGTGACTTGATCCACACTAGACTGTAGTCTGATTTTCTCCTCGGTCAGCTGATTATAATTGTCTTCTAGTTGAAGCTTTTCCTCAACTACTTGATTACATTTAGTGACAGCGTTACTGTTTTCAGAGGCTAGCTCATTTAGTTTAGACTCGAGTTGGGCCTTCTCCTCAGTAATTAGAGTGAGGGTAACATCGAGTTGGGCCTTCTCCTCAGTAATTAGAGTGAGGGTAACATCGAGTTGGGCCTTCTCCTCGTTGACCTGTCTCAGAGTTGATTCAGCGACTTGTTTCTGAGCGGTGAGTTGATCGACCTTCTGATTTTCCTCAGTTAACTGCTGAATGTTGTTCTGCAGTTGTTTGTTCTTCTCAGAAAGCTCATCCAAACTGACCTCCAGCTGTTTCTTCTCTGCATTTACTCGAATCATTTCAGTTTCTACTGTCTCTTTATCATCTGTTACCTGTTTCAAAGAAGCTTCAAGGCAGTTTTTCTCTTGTTGTAACTGGTTAAGACTATTATCTTTGTCTTCAATGACCTGCCTGAGAGTTGTCTCTAACTTGACATTTTCCTCTGTGGCCTGACAGAGCTTAGACTCAAAAGTAGCAACGCTCTCCTCCAGCTGTTTCTGATTGGCGACGTCCTCTTCGAGACGAGTAATTTCATAGCTCCTCTCCATCAGCTCGTCCCTCGCTGTGACAAACTGCGTCTCCAGCACTGAGTTCTGGGATTGGACATCTTCTAAACGGGTTTCCAGGACAGAGACCTGAAAATAATTGTAGATTGAATCTAATTAGGTATGTTTTCTTGCCTACAGAGCAACAGGAGCTGGCAAAGATGATGCCAGTTTGCTGCCTGAAGTTTAGACAATTCATTGATGAGACATGTGAAATGTGTTATTAGCCGCTTTCAAAGTACTTTGCCGTACTTAGTTCCCAGCTCTTAGTTCCCAGTACTTAGTTCCCAGTACTTAGTTCCCAGCTCTTAGTTCCCAGCTCTTAGTTCCCAGCTCTTAGTTCCCAGCACTTAGTACCCCCATGGAACTAAAGAGCCGATCGCGTTCACACCGGAATAAGTCCCTGAGGGAAGATTACGCAAATGAAGCCGCTGACGTCACTTCTTCTGCTTTGGGTTTACTGGCAGGCCGCGAACAACTTCACGGCGTATACTGCCACCCGTAGTCTTCAGTAGAAGCCTTCCGAGTAAATCGCCAGAACGCCAACACCTCCTCATCACTCCACCGCTCCCATGTTTTTTTTTGTGTTGCCATAAGTTAGTCTCTCTCCGTTGGTGCGCTGGGCTAATGCTAATAATGCTAATGCCAGCATACAATGGCGGCTTCACAAAACTTTTCAGAGTGTTACGGGGCGTGGTTTGCAATTCGCCCAGCCAATCAGAAATTTGAACTTTTTTCTCCCCAGGAGAACTGCTCTCTAGCAGGGACTGAAAAGGGGGGAAAAGTTCTCATGAACTAAGTTCTCTTTTTGGTGTGAACGCAAAATCCCAGGAACTATTGGAACTAAAAGGGAAAAGTACTCCGGTGTGAAAGCGCCTCTTGAGCTCCAAATGATGAAAGGTTATCTCCACAGTAAGTCTACAATCTGTGGCACAAAATGATTTGGACAGATTTGAGTGTAACTGTGACTCTACCTGGGCTTGGCTGTCCTCCAGTCTTGCCTCCATGTCAGTCATCTGGGTGTTGTTGTGAGTCAGCTGAGCCTCCAGCGACTCTATGGTTCTCTTCAGTTCCTCCACCTGACTTTCACAAGTGTTCATGACTGTCTCGTTGTCCTCCAGGTCCATTTGAAGCATCTCCAGCTGAACCTTAATGTGAACAATTACAAAACATTTTTGAATTTTCTGATTCGTTACAACACCAACAAGGCAAAAGTGACACACTATGGTACCGCCAGAGTACATCAGTAACCAACCTTGATTTTGTGCATGGCAACCATCTTCTCCTTCAAGAGATCTGATGTTTGAGCCTGCTCTGCCTCAGCGTTATTGAGCTTCTCCTTCAGACTCTTTATCTCGTTGTCTCTCTCTTCTAAGCCGTGTGAAGCAGCAGACAGAGTCGTCTTCATGGTCTTGATCTCTCCCCGTCGAGTACTTGATTCTGTCTTTGAAGCATTAACTGATTTCCTCGCAGCCTCGAGCTTCTCTTTGAGGATCTTCTCTTTGTTGATCATATTTTCAACCTCCAAAGTGTGATTTGCCGACTCTTTGCTCGCCTTCTCTCCGAGCTCCTTAACCTCGTTCTCCAAATTACAGATTAGATTGATTTTCTCGTTCATGGTGTTCTCCAAGTTGGATTTGATTTCAATAGTAGAGGAGTGACTCTTCTCAAGAGCTTCTAGATGCTTCTTAAGATCAGCATGGGACTGGTTGACCACTTCCAGTTCTTTCTCCAAGGCTGGGAGCTTCTCTGCTTCGTCTTTGCTCGCAGTCAGCTCCTCTTGTAAGGAAGATATCTGCTCCAGAAGGCAGTTGATCTTCTCAGTGTGAGACTGCTGGAGGTTCTTCATAAGAAACACAATGAATCATTACTTGTGAGAAACACAGGTCATGGTATACGCCAGGGCTATTCAATGAGTTTGGAATGGGGGCCGGTTGATGAAAATGATCCAAAGCAAGGGGCCGGGAAAAAGATGGCTTGAAATATGAGCAATCATATTAAGAGCTTCAGATACAGTAAATACTACAACAGCATAGTGGAGTGCATATATTGTGTTTCATTCAATCAAACAACATAGCCCCAAGGCCTTTATAGATCTAAATGGCAAGTTCAGAACTCAGTAGGCCTACATGTGAAGCTAATTTAACCATCAACATCATTTCATTTGATTTAATTTAGGTGAAATTATCTAATCATTCACGCAGAGATGCAATCAATGACAGGAGTTGTCACTACAGTAGCTAGTAGGTGGGTTTCGAAACCCGAGCCCGCCGAAGTCTTCAGGCAATGTCTTCCCCTCTATCTCTCAATGTAACACCCTTTCTGGAATAAAGGCACTCTGGCCTAAATAAAAAAATCTTAATAAATCAAATTTGATGATTACTGTTTAACATTATACTCAAAGGGCCAGTACATATCACCCGCAGGCCGCCACTTGAATAGCCCTGGTATACACATATGAAGCATGGACAAACCACAATACATTTTTGGGGACTATTTTACCTCGGCCTCCTTCTTCGTCTCTTGAGCTGCATTTTCCAGCTCAGCCGTTTGTTTCTCCAGAGACAAAATGTGAGCGTCCGCCTCTCCGAGCTGCTTCTCCTTCGCTTCTGCGTGGCTCTGCAGATCCTTCAGCTCCCCCTCCAACTCTTTGAGCTCTTCTGATTTCTTCTCATGCATCTTCTTGTGTTCCTCTTCTTTGTCAGACAACGTCTTGATTTGTTTCTGAAGCTCAGCTCCCAGTTGCTCCTGGACCTTTAGCAAATGATGCGTGGAACTGATCTGAAACACAAGGACAAAAGTAAGGAAAAATACCCTCAAAGATATAGAACTTGCCGACCAAATGTGACCCGTCACTGAAATCAGAAACACACAACATACTCTTCTTCTATTGCAAGATATAATAATATGTATACAAATTACATGTTAGACGCTTTTATCCAAAGCGACTTACATACTCAATACTGTGGGCAATCCCCACAGGAGCAATTTGGGGTGAAGTGTCTTGCCCAGGGACACAACGACATGCTGACTGCAGTGGGGTTTGAACCTGTGCTCCCCTGATCCGAACACCAACGCACTAATCCACTGCGCCACAGCCACAAATAAAATGTACGATAGCAAAGATATTCATACATAATGTACTCATCCAAAAGAAATGACAGAATGTGTTAACTAAATAATGGGTAATCTGTTTAATTAACTGGACTGTCACAGAAACTATTATTAAACAGACCTGTTTGTGGGTGAGCAGCAGCGCTTGCTGAACTTCTTCCAGCTGCAGCTTGAGCGTCTCGGTCTCTTCCACCTTCTCTGAAACGCTCTCCTCACACTGCTTCAGCAGGGCCGCCTTCTCCTCGGCCAACCTGGTGGAGATTAGACACCAAGAAAAAGAATATGCATGTTAGAAGCAAAACATAATTATTATTTACCTAAGGAACCAATGGGGTTACAGTACCATGTCATACTTGTATCATAGGATACTAGGGATGGGTACCGAGCCCCGGTATTAAAGGGTCCCCGGGGCGGAATTATTAAAGACCATGGTACCGTTAAGCTCCGACGTTATCGGTATTTTTATCGGTACTGGATACATCTAAAACATAGCTATGTCATATGTATTATGCTACACAAACATTATATTGCAGTTTTAGTGTCGCCAACTCAGTTTCTAATACGCAAAAAGACTGCAAAATGCGTCTGATTATTTTTGATCTTTCCAATCCAGACGAGAGATCTCTCCCCCGTCTTTGTGCGAGGGGGCGGGGCAGTTTACACACACGCAGCTGCTACATGCAGCAACACACACACGGCGGAGATGGCGGAGAGAACTAAGCGCTCCGAGGTGTGGTTAAACTTTACCCGTCTCGCTCGTTGCCAAAAGTGCAATAAGAGTCTTGCACGTAAGGGCGGTAACACGAGCAATTTGTCGAAACATTTAGCAAAAGTGGAGACGGAGAAATGCACCGTTTTCGACTGTCTTTCTAGAAGCTCTGTAGCCCCATCCACGAGTAACTTTTCCACGTCAGGTGTTATGTATGCTAGCAGCAACACACAGAGTTAACTCAATTATACAAACATGGGTTAATGATAGAGGTAACTGAGTTATTTATTTTGTTAAAGTTTCAGCTATTCTGTTTACAGTTCTGTCATCAGATTATTTAATACGATTTGTTAAAACATTGTTGTTTCTTTTGATGTGAAATATTATGTATTTAATTTAAATAAAAAGCTTTTTTTGCTCACAATTTGTTTAGTTAGTTTACCTCATTTTTTTTCTTCCAAAAGAACCGATAAGAGTACCGTTAAAAGACCGGATCGATAAGCGGTATCCATAAAAGTAGTAGTACCGTAAAAACCTTAACGATACCCATCCCTAGGATCCCATCCCATAGGATACACATAAGTATTTTATAGTGGCAAAATCAAATGTCCTCTTAATCATGTGTTACACAGTGATGCCGCCTCAGCAAAACTTAATTTGTGAAGTTTGTCCAAGTTAGATTTATTAAAGGGCTGTTAGAAAGAGTTGATTCAATATTAGTAATTGAACCACAAACTGAACTCCCACCTGGCAGCTTGCTCCTCTTGCTGTGCAGAGGTGTGAGCGAGGCTGTCTCTCAGCTGGCTGATCTCAGCTTGGCCTAACTCCACCAGCTGATCTTTGGAGTGAGCGAGGTCGCAGGCGGCCTGGTGCTCCCCCTGCAGCTCTGTGATCGTCTTCTCAGCCTGCTCTGCTCGACTCGTTTCCCTTTGCAACCGCAACTCCAGAGCTTTGACCTGTGCCGATAATAGAGTTAGCTCGAGGACAAACGAGGAATACATGTAATCAATGGCTGTTTATTCTATTGCTTTAGGGACAGCCAGCTTTAAATAGTGTTATTTGGTATCCTGAGCCGTTAAAATTATGATAATCTTTTTTTAAAAAGCTTCAAAAATGCAGGGAGAATGTTTATGAACCCATTACATAATGGAAAGGAGGGATATCTTGTTTTCCAATGAACACATTCAACATGTAAAATGAACTATTAATTGTACAAAAACAATAAATAAAAAACAGCAATATAATAAATCACCTGTGCTTCAAGCTGGGCCACTTGCACAGCCACATTCTCCAGGTCTTTGGTGTGTTTCTGTCCAACCTCTGATAATTTAGACTGGAGCTGGTTGTACTGATGCTCCCTCTCCTCCAACTCTGTGCTCTTGTTCAGAAGTTCTCCCTTCAGGGAATCGATGAGAGCAGACAGACGGGCCTTGTCTCCCTCCACACACGTGAGCTGCTTCTACAAAAGCGAGAAGAAATGTATCAGCCCACAAATTCTCAAAAGCCAGGGTTAATTAATGGCAAATAAATACACATCAACACGTCTTAGGATGCACTAGACGACAGAATAAAAAACAGGTTCTTATCAATGACTGTAACCCTTAGATGCATAAGTGGGTATTTCTTGACCCGGTGAGGTGGTTTTCTTGAAGTATCTTTGTAATTACAATTTTTTATCATTTCATATTCCAGCTATTCCTCAAAAAAACATGTTTTGGATATCATGCCATTCAATTTTTTTATTTACATTTTAAGAAATAGTAGTTTTTGTATTACTACCCCAAGCTTCCATAAGTGGGTCAAAAATGACCCGCATGCTCTTTCTATGGGATCCTATGTGAACCTTTGATTCTTATCACCTGTTGCTGTCAGGAATACATTTACTGTAGACCACACAGACGACATCACAAGTGACACCTCTCAGGAAGATTATTTTACACAGCAAGATCTGATACCCGTCAGTATAATAATAATAATAAATTATATTTTTATAGGGCTTTTCAAGGACTCAAAATCGCTTTACAATATAAGGGAAGGTTAAGGTGGGGGGTATAGGACTATCAAACTTGATCAACCGGCATGGATTGATGGAGGGGGGGGCTATGAGTAGACAAGAGGAGAAGAGATGAGTTTTGAAAAGGGACTGGAATACTGTGAGGGTCTCAGAATAGCAGAGATCTTTGCATCAATATGCATATAAAATTATAAATAGTGAAAAGTTAAATATAAAATATTTCTAGTGTGAACCAAAATATAATACAAAATATTATACAAGTGATTTTTCTTAACCAAAATGACAAAAATGGCATAAAAACACATTATTCTAATACGGGTCCTTTTTGACCCACTTATGGAAGAGTGTAGGGTCCAGTCACTCGTGCATCTAAGGGTTAAACTGTGTAGTTTATCTTTCCTAACCCATACTTTAAGTTAATTAATTGGAAAACTATAGACCTGTACCTTAACTGCCTCATTGGCCTCATTTAGCGAGTTGATGCTCTTCTCCAAGTTTTCAATCTTGTCAGTGAGGACTTTCTGCACAGCCTCGGTTTCATTAACCACGGTCTCCTTTTCTTTCTTCCACTCCAGCAGAACTTGATGTTCTTGAATCAGTTCCTTGCTCTCCTTCTGACTCGCACTGAGATTGGATTGCAGCTCTTGGCTCTCCTTCTCCAAAACTGTCAACTTGTTGGTCAGCCTCTCGGTCTCTTGCTTCTGTTTCTGCAGTTCACTCTGAGATCTACGTTGATAAATACATTCAAGAGCATGTTAAATATCATAGTAATGTATGTTTTCTATTCGTTATTACAATATGTGACTGAATTTCGTTCTTTCCAACAGTTCAACTATGCTTTAGGGCTGCTCAATTAATCGTATTTTAATCGCAATTACGATTTTGGCTTGCAACGATTATGAAAACAACATAATCGAAATAAAACGATTTTTTTAATTATTGGTTTTTCAGTTGAATTATACTTCAGGGTAATCAACTGTTAAAAACATACTGTTCACATTTTTTTTCAATAAATGGATGTTTTCAAAGTAAATGGATAATCGTTTTTAATAATCGTGATATCAATTATTGACCCAAATAATCGAGATTATGATTTTTGCCATAATCGAGCAGCCCTACTGCTTACCTGTCATTTTTGGTCTCTGCATCAGAAAGTGTCTTTTTCAAATGGTCCAGATCTCGGGCTGAATTCTGAGTCTGCTGCTCCAGTTTAGTCTGAAGTCTCTTCAGCTCATCCGCCTGCCCTTCAGATTTAGCTTGAGAACAAAAAGACAAACGAGTTAAACATGAGATTATTCTGGGTAATAAATTCTGCTACTAACGTTTCTATAACTAACTTACCTTTGAGGTCATCTAGTAAGCCCTGGGTGCGTTTAAAGCTCTGATCTGAACCCTTCTTCTCCTCCTCCAGCTGACTAAGACGCCTGCTGCTCTGATCCAACTGAACAGTCACACTGTTCTTCTCTTTCTGCAGCTCCTGGAGGCAAGGGAAATGTGAAGAGAACACGAGTTAAGGGAAGACATGGAGACCGTGAGAACAAAAATGTTGCAAAAAGACACCTGGCCATAGTGTTGACATTAATACTGTACACCAAAACCTTTTAGCAACAAATAAGGATAACATATCATGTTGTTTTTAGTTGGCCAGAAATGGCTGTTAAGACTGAATAAATAAAGTTATACCAGCATATTTGCAAGGTGGTTGTCAGTGTAGAATTATATGAAGTGGATATTCTATGAAAAGCAACCCACCTCCATCTTCTTGCAGAGGTCCTGCTCTTTGGTCTGACTGACCTGGAGGCTCTGCTCTGACCTCAGCAGTTTCTGCTTGTGCTCCTCCACCTCCCTCTCCATCTGACTCTTTTGAAAGGACGCCTGGAAAAGACGGTAAGAAGAGTTAAAATGAGAAGGAAGAAGTACACACAAGAGTAGAAAGTCTGACACATCCGTCTCATACAAATGCTCTCAACCCATTGACAGCAGCTGATGCAAACAGCTGGAAACTACATGCTTATATTGGAGACAATGTGATCTGCTAAACAAAAGTGTCTGCGTTGCCTACAGTTGGCATGCCTACATACAGAAAAGTACAAGAGGGAGGTGGTGCAACAGACCTCAAGGTCAATTCCATATTCTCACAGCCATCATCCAAATCATTAAAGTTGGGTCAATGTATGCCGGCATTAATAGTATAATTTGTGTAGCCAGTAATATTAGGCAAATAAATAAATAAATACAGGATTATGTGCCATCCTCAAAGGATTCAGTGATAGCTCTGTGAAGAAAGAACGATTAAGAGAGGAGGAAGGGAAAGCAAAACAGAGATGTTACAAAGTTACCTTCTCCATGTCAGCCTGCAGTACGTTGTGTTCTTTTTTAGACTGTTGGATCTCTTGTGTTAGCTTGGTTCTGGTCTGGTTCAGCTGCTGGTCCAAAGCCTGGTGAGAATTCTGCAGCTGAGCTAGCTCCTACACAGAACAGACAAGAAGTTGTTTTATTAAGTTTAAGAAAAGAAAATAATATTTGGGAAAGGTTTGATGGTATTATGGCTCTAGGCTGTTGCACCTTTTGACTGTCTCTCTCTTGGTCCTTGAGTTTCTGCTCCAGGGCTCGTTTGCAGCTCTCAGCGTTGTGCCTCTGACAGCTCATCTCCTCTGAGACTTGTTTCAGCTTCTGTTCAATTGATGAACACTAAGGAATAAAAGGCAGAATTGTTATCAGTCATTCAAATGTTTTCTTATGATTTTACCAGGCTTGCCTATCTTGAACAAGGGTATCTAGCAGATATTAAACAAAAACAATATATCCCATATTAATAGAGTTACCATGAACCAATCATAAGATCCTACCTTGGTCACAACCTGCTGGTGTCTGTCTGTGGCCTGACTCAGCTCGTGGCTGGTCTTGGCCACGTCTCTGTCCCGCTCAGTCAGCTCTTTGCGGGCCTGGGTCAGTTGGGTTTGAAGTTCCTGCAGCTTGGATGCCTGGTTACGAATATCCTTCTCCTGAGTGGACAGGTTCCTCTCCAGCTCTGACACACGGCCACGCAACTCTGAGGATGAGAAGGTATAATGGAAATGTTGTTGCAGGACATAATAGGGATATTTAACTCAAAAGTTTAACCTCTGAAAATACATCTTTCAGAGGTTGTACATGTGCAAAATGAAAGGATACCACCAACACTATAAAATATATTATTTCCCAATCAAGTGTAAACAGTCTACCTTGGTTGAGTGTCTTCAGCTGCTCCATCTGTTGGGAGGATCCACAGGGACTCTGCGCCGCTCTGGTAGAGCTCATCCGCTGGCTGCTTTTAATGGGGGTTTCCTCCAGGGCGTCCCACAGGGAGGCTCCCTGCCTCTTCAGAGGCGTTTCCATTGCATCCTGGGACTGGCGGCTGTGGGCCTGATCCTGTTGCCATGGGAATATCGAAGATCCAGCTTGGCGAGCAGCTATGTCCTTGTGGCTAACACTGACTGAGGACTGGTTCAACATCTAGAAGAGAAGAGATAATTAAACATAAGAGACTACAAAAAATAAACCCACATAATAAATATAATAAATGTACTCACTTTGACCTGCATGACTTTGAGTTCAGTCTCCAGCCTTTTTCTTTCTTCCACCTCCTGGCTGTATTTCTCCTGAAGCTCATCTAGTCTGTTATCTATGGAACACAAGAGTCAGTAAGATACATGTCTTTTAAAAAAAAAAGATGAGAAGAAGCAATATATTTAACAATTATATTAAAACCAGTCTGAGAGGAAACTATACAACTTATATGATAACAAAACAAAATACCCTGCTGCCTGTAGGCTGCTCCAGAAACTGGGGTAGGGTAACTCTTCTGTGGAGTAGTGTAGTGCTGAATATCAGAAGAGGAGGAGGACGACAAGGAGGAAGAGCCAGCAGGCTGCGAACGGTCCAGTTCATTCTTGTACCTGAGCAGATGGAAAGACAACAAAGGAAGAGTAATCAGTCATTCAGAAGTCAGGATCAAATAGGGTACATCTAATTATGTTAAGCATGAATTAATCAGTACTTTACGATGGAACAGCAGCAGCAAATTTGTTAATTTATCGTCACTCACTTCTTAAGCTCATGCTCCAGTCGCTCTATGGTCTTCCTGCTAGCGTTCAGCTGGCCGTCAAGGTAGCTCACCTAGGTTCGGGAAAACAATTATTAGTTTTTGTTTTCTTTCAATACAGTTGATTAAAAAAAAATATCTTGTTGGTTTGCTTTAAATACATCTGAAATATATGACTACTGTCTGTTAAGTATTAGTGATCTTATAACCGTGTCCAATAGAATTAAACTAAATTCTAACTTCAAATGAAATAGTAATAAACCGCAGCTGATATTTCCGTTCTGTCTCACATCAGTAACTGACCTGCTGCTCTTTGACTCCGAGGTCATGGATGACCTTTTGACGAGCTTTCTCCAGAGAGTCACAAGACTCTAGCAAAGACTGGTTCTCTCTTTTCAAAGCAGAGGTCTCAGAACGTTCACCGTCCGCCTGGAGAAAGACAAACAAGTATAAGTAATCAACTATCTTTCTTTTAGCACATGTTAGAATATTGGGTATTCACTCCCATTAGGACAATGCACCAGTAATTTATGCAAGGGGTTTCAAAAGTTTAAGTGATCTACACCTATTCAATTCATCTATTTACAATGCATTCCTCTTGAACACTGACCTTTTGTTTCTGCTTTTGCAGGGTAGCCTCTAAGGAGTCCAGCTGAAACTGTTTCTGGTTCCTGTCCTTCTTCAGTTTGTCCAGCTGGGATTCCATCTCCTGGATCTTCTGCAGGGCTTTCCCTGGAAGTCCATCCTTCCACTCCTCCATGGCCCAGCTCATGGTTTAAAACCTGAATTAACAGACATGGATTTATTTGAAGGGGAAAGGCAATACTAATCTGCAACTCATTAATGAGCCATATGACCCATAAGTAACAGATATTAGGGTATGAGCTGACACAAAAATGGACAGGGATAGTTCATATGTAAATCAGGTCTTGTGTGCAAAATGCAACTTGTGTTAAACATAACATAATTAAGCGTTAGGCAGTTCAACATTTTACTTAAGTAAAAGTACAGCATCAAAATGTATTAAAGTCCTCAAAGTAAAAGCTTACATTCTTCACAATGACCCATTTCAGAATCAAACAAAATACAGAAATATTATCAGCTAAATGTACCTAAAGTATTGGAAGTAAAAGTACACATTGCAGAATGGAACTTTTGACAACATGTTATTATTATGGTTATTTTATTATCTTGTTTTGCACATGTATTCTATTCTATTTTAGTGTTGTAGTTTGTCAGTGTGGACCAGCGTAGATTAGTAGTACAGTAATGCATTATACCATTATAGTATATCATGTCTTTTATGTGTATAAAGTAACTAGTAAGTATGAGTGTTAAAATAAATATAGCGGAGTAAAAAGTACACTATTTGCCTCTAAAATGTAGTTGAGTAGAAGTGTAACGTAGCATTAAATGGAAATACTCATGTAAACTACAAATATGTCATATGTACTTAGTTACTCTCTGCCACTGTCGCGAGGTAATTAATGGTTACCAAAAACGAAAATAACAATTGCTTGCCAGGCTTGCGTTGATGCATGACATCTCATAAACAAACACTTAGGCTAAATTGACGTAAACTTTGAAAGAATCGTTCGCTGGAGTTTAACATTACTTTCAGTTAGTTTAATAAAACGGTTATGACAGCCGTATTTTACAAAAGTGTGGGCATCGTGGAATTAGCATTTATCGATTAGCTAGCGTTTGCTAACTAAACGTTACAGTTAACCGTAGCTAACGTAACGGACAGCAACTAGTTGCAATATTTTTTACAGAATACTGGATAAACACACGTCTGAGATAGTCGCCACTGCACTTACTGTCAATATAAGAAGAAACGTTAACGTATGCAAAGTCTGTTTATGTTGGTGTTAATCTGGCGTTAACTTTAGCTGGGTTGAAAATTGTTTGAGCAAACGTTGATTTTTATTTTAAACAAAACTCCACAAATGAACGGCTGGGCGGATACAACATGCTTTGTGAAACGAGATGGCATGTTGTGTTGAAGTACATTTATGGCTTAAACGAATCGCTACAAGAGTTTAAATTAAAGATAGATGCACACTTACTTTGGGCGCGCTGCTCCTTTATCTCACAGTCAGATTGTTTGGGGTTGGTCTCGTTGGAAAATTCAAACTCACCGGAGGAAACCGAAATTCACTCAGCTCTATGCTCATTGGCTACTTCATGTGACGTCAGTCATATAACATTTCATGCCCATTGGACAGTGTTTGTGACGTAATTCATACACTCAACAAGATTGGTTTAGTTCCGTTTGTCCCAACAGGGCCACCGTGTGGTGTGAATTTGTAGAGCTGAATGCAACAACAAAAAAGAAAGGTCATTTTTTTATTTCCTCTCTTTATTATATCTGGACGTCTTCTCCAGATAGACTTTTGAAATACCTACTAACTTATTTGTTGTTTTCCACGATACATACACTTTAGGTCGGGATGACAAGCTCGTCTTGAGCTTGAGCCAAGTTAAGACTACATTTTACATTGTAACCTAAATATTTGAGATCCTACAATATATATAAATTCTGCACAGCTGACTAAGGAAAACGATATGCCAGGCATGATGCAAAAGTAAGCCTACTAAACAGTCTAGAAGTACTGTAACAGTTCACTGAAGTAAATCTGCCTCAGATATTTTGGAAATTAAATCAGTTGGTATGGGCGGGGTAGGATTTCCTGAGACTAATTTGAATGTAGATAAAGGACAACTCTGATGTTTATACAAACATAGTGGTGGTTCGGAACACTGCAATTTTGTGCAAGTCTCTTTTCTGAAAGGGATAATGTATTTAAGAGACTTTCTGGTTAAATAAAGGTAAACAGAAATAAAGATGAATAAATGTGAAGCAAGTGCCATACTGCACTTTATTGAGTTTCAGTGACATAATACAGAAAGAATCAGAGGTTCAGATTTAGTTATGCATAACATTCATGCCTCAAAGTAAAAAGTCATCATAGAAATGCAGAAAAGCCTTTAATCTGTTTTTTTTGTGCGGCATGAGCATGGATTTTACTGTTAACCCATGTGCCACATGCTTTTTCTTCATGACAGAAAACCAATCATATGCATGTTCCTGCAGTCTGGCCTAAAACAAAATGAAGTGCTAAAATCTGACAAACTGAGGGTTTTGATATTTTATGGTTTGTGCAGACTTCAAACCCCTTTTCATTTATAAAACAAACATTAGAACAGACATTTTGAATGACATATTGTATGCAAAAGGCAGGCACCTTAGATGCACCTTTGCAGATTACAAAAAGTGTCACCTCTGGAGAGGTTGCTACAAATATTTGCCGACTCATACTCAAGGGAATACTAACCCTCAGTAACCCATGCATAAGACTGCGTCCATAGTCAAATGTAAGCAAAAGGGAGAAGCAACAGGTTTTTAAAAGAATAAAGGAATTAGATATAACTGTAGTTTCTCTGGTGACAGCAAGGCCAACTGTCCATGAACATCAATTAAGAAAACATAACAAAATGTGCTTACATGTCATTTTGACATCATTTTGTCACAGAAATTGTAGAAAGATTTAGTGCAACTAGAACCCTAACATAAGGCCTAGGTGATGATCTTGGCATTGCCTCAAGTTCAAACTTCTGAAAGCCACTTTCACACATGCTCACTCATAAGAGAGACAGTTTTACAACATGGAACTGCTCCTTTTTTCTAATGATGTCAGGGTTCTTTGAAAACAATTAAACACAAGAAACACTTTGAGCATCTCTGAAAATCCTGGTTGTCAACATGATTTGACCACACTGATGCAGAGATATAAAGGGGGAGATACCATTTATTTTTAAATAATGTTCATAAAATTCAAAGTTTGTGAGGATGATATCTCTGAAATGATCACCTGCGTATAAAATAAATACTGCATGTTAAAAATCTGCCCTCAGGTGCTCAAGTAATTTCATTCCCAAAGTAATGACAATCTGCATTCATGCTGCTTAAAAAACAAGGTACAATAATGCATTTCTAGACAAAAGACAACAAAAGCTACCGTGTTGTTCCTTTTTTCCTGAGAGCAATGGGGCCTTGACCCAGGATCATTGGTCAGGTAATGGTTCAAATGTCCTCACTGGGATTTAAGAAGCAGCATGGTCTCAGATCAGCACCCCTATTTAAGGATAGACTGTGAGTAGAGGATTATAGCTGGCTCCTATCAGTTTAACCCATGGCCCCTTTGGTCAACAAGGCTCATAAGAAACATTTTTTACATAAACATGCAACACTTTTTCTGGTTCTTTAAACAAGCCAAACATACTATAAGACAAGCCAAACAAACCACTTGTTATTCATTTAGGAAAAGTTCTTTGCATTCTCTTCTCCGTTGCTACAGAGTATCTGATGCATGGTCAGTCCTCATATTTTCACATTTTAAACAAGAACCTATGAAGCCAGCAAATCAGTTTGATAGAATCAAATGCATTGGCTGGGTATCAGTATAATGCCCTTTATAACAACTACCAGCTTGTACAGAAGTCCAAATCATTAAACAATTTCTCTGGAGGACAACTGTGCATCTGAAACGGCTGACGAAGACATACATAATGATGAAACACGTGGGTTGATGGGTCTAATGAACACAGGCAGAACACGTCGTTTATGTGGCGTTCAAATGAAAGGGGTGCTTCCTCGAAAAGACAGCTTTAAAGGCAGTTTTAAGTTATTTTTTTATCGCGTTGAATGGGTTTATTGAGTTTTAGCACACAGAAAGTATTTAAGTCACTTTTTTCATTCCAAACATTTTTACCATTATTTGTTTGCTTTGACTCCAGGTCTGACAGGAAGTATGGAGTTTCAGGTAGAAAACATGATTATCGTCACATCAAATGTTGAAAAAAAGACGTGAAAAAAACCCCATGCCTACAACCAGGCAAGAAAAACAATAAAGTGGGTGACCATAAAACAGAGAGGTATAAGATGCATAGCATGCGGTTGTGATGTTTATTGTTGTTGTTGCTGCTTTAAAGAGAGGTTCCTTATTCCAGTGCGTCTCGTCTTTAAACTCTCATTGTTTATTTCTGCTCCTCGATTTCCCGTTTGACTTCCGCTACATAATTGTGATCTTTCCCATGAGCCATCTCCATGATGGCAACAGCCTGAAAACAGAAAAGCATGAAAATCATAGAAACTACAATATTTGGAATAACTTGATTACAAAGGTGTGATGTGTTTTGTTTCCTAAACATTCGTACAGCGTAGGTAGGACATCACAATTCATGGTTATTAAACAAGAAACTGACTTACCTAATATCTCTAAACTTCTGACTGCAGTTGCTTTTTACAGCTCACTTATTTACTGCTTTTAAATTTAATTGTAATGTTCTACCTTCATTTTGCCAAATAATAACTAATTTGTGCCCTATGGCTATATTTAGAATGATATGGAAAAATGCGCCAAACCATTTGTTGTGATTCGACTAAAGTCTTGAAATCTGGTACGGGTTAACGTTAGGGCACATGAAGATTCACCGGTCAAAATCGGGGTTTCAAAATCAGGTTTTTTTTACACTAAATGTCTGTGCATATTTTTGATTTTAGATGATATTATTACCAGTTCATAGGTTCTAAATACTGGATTGTTTTTTTGTATATTATGAGATAAAGTAATTTTGTTTTTAAATCATACTGTATTAAGTCCTTGGGTGCATGGGACTATTGTTATTTCATACAATAAAGTGAAATATTGTTTGACAAAAGCACAAATTAGTTGGTATGCATAATGTCCAGATGTCAGTAAACGTACCCTCTTCAAAGCTCTGATTCCTTGTTTCTTCTTCTCCAGCCCCAAATACAGACGTCCCAGTTTTAAATACATAGACGCCACGTTCAGAGAGTAGGCCGGGTAGTGAACGCTGCAGAGAGAACATTATTTATACATCAAGCCAAGCTGTGAATGCGAGATGAAACAATGTTGATTGATGTTACAATGGGTTTTGTCGTTGTACTATAAAAGTTCAGAACATATAAAACTAGTAGAGTTCAAAAGTAAAATATGAAAGATATTTGAGATGTTGTGGAGTGTTGTGTAACACAGAGGGAAATATGTTGAGTGTGAGTGTATTCAAACAACCCAATATAACATCTGTTGTAGAGTACATACTGTATATTGTAAGCGGGACAGAGAACTCTTCATGGGGAGAAAGGTTAAAGTCATATTGTGCCCTTAAGAAAATAATTGTATTATTTTAAGCGGCAAAGTCCAGTTAAATCAATTAATTAAAATAGTAAAATAGGAATAAAATGCATATTTTTAGCATATTCTGCCTGGGTTATGTCATAAATGCATTTCAATACTGGAGTGTTTCTACAGGGCTTTATCATCCACTTCTTTGTCTAAAGATTGTGTCGCCGTTACAACTCATTGTCACATCTTATAAGGATCTATTGTAACTTCAATCCTGATTCTATACAAATCCCCCAAAGATGAATTCACCTGTACGGCTGAACGATCTTCTCTCCGTATCTCAACGCTCCGTCCCAGTCCTGCATGTAGAGGCAGACTCCCATGGCCTGATACATCATGTGCAGCATGTACACGTTTGTGTCTGCAAATATCGCTCCCATCTTCTCCAGGCTGAGCTCACAAATCTCCAGCAGCTCACTGGGGGGTGCCAGAGTCAAGGAATAATGACACAAACAATGCTTAGAAGAAGAAAAGGAGGCTGGGAAGTGAAAGGTTGAAAACGGACTGGAAATGTAAGAGAAATGCAGTTATAAACCGAGGAAGAGGATATTTTTGTAGTGCTTGGCTCTCCTGAACTCCTCGATCACAATCTTGGCGTAATGGACCATGGATCTGATTTTCTCTGGCTCTGGTGGAGAACTCAGCTTCCTGGTCTCCATTTTTGCTTTGTCCTAGAAAGAAAATAAAGGGAATGATTTGAGGATCAATTTCCAAGAAACATATCATACATAAGATAATCTAAACCATTAAGGGAGTTATGCACAATGGGAGCTACTCAAAGCTGGAAATGACAAACTAGATACGATTTTCACATTTTTACAAAAGCAAACCTGTTGATTATTGATACCAGATACATGTTTCCACAAGTTTGGTCTAATTTCCTGCCAAAAGAATAAGATAAAGACTGGAGAACTATT